GCGGCGTTGGTCTGAGCTCGGCACAGCCCAGGGCCTGGGACATTCCTGGGCACCAACGAGGAGGCAGAGGTGTGTAACCAGCCTTCCTCCAGCCACCTCATGGCCTCTTTTCCCCAAAGAGGAGAAAAGACTTCAAAATAACGCTCGGGACTCCTGCCTGCTCCCTCATTTTGGGGCTCCCGAGCCTGCTCGGCACACATCCCGACTTCTCTGTGCCAGACGTGCTCCCTTGGCGAGGCAAGCTGACATTACCGGCTAACCACCCCAGCCCAGGGGCTGGAGCTCTAAGGAAAGCAAAGCCACCGAGCCTCCTGTGACTCACACTGAAATCACAAGCCGTCTGCATTTCCAGCCGGGCCTGTAATCAGCCGGGGCAGGGCCGATGGCTTTCAGGCAGGAGGGTGGAAGGAGCGGGCAGGCAGTGGGGTCACAGCCTCCCGGGGTGCAGGAAGCATCTCAAGGCAGCAACGCCTGCGTTCTGCCCTGCCTGCTCGGGGGCTGCTGCTGTAGACATGTCAGCAGGTTTTGCCACCGACAGCACACACAGCAGCCCCAAAATTTGGTAATTTAAGGAATGTGGTGTTTTAAAAATTCTGCTGTGGGAGCGCGGTGCACACTGGTGTGGTTACAGCTCAAGGCACACTCAGCACCGCTCACCCGGCACGTGGGCACGAGCTGGCTGAAAATCTGCTCTTGCCTGTTTGCTGCCTTCCCTTACAGAAATCCACCACGACGGCTGCAATCACTTGAGGAATGCTGCTATCCACACAAAACCTCCCGGCTGCCCGCTGCTGCAGCGCTGCAAGAGCTCCTGTGAACTCTCCCACTGCATTTCAGATCAAAGCCGGCCAGCTTGAGGCACTGCTGGGAGTGGGTTTTAAAGTGTTGCAGCTGAGTCCTAAAAAAAAACCTCATCTGCTTTCATCCTCTCTGCAGCTTAACAGACATTTACAGGCCCCTGGGTAGTTTCTTGTGGATTTCTTTTCTCCCTGCTGTTTCAAACGGGGGTGAATCCTATTGAAAAGCACATTTCAAAGATCTCAGCCATCTCCTCCATCCCGTCTGCGTGGGCTGGGAGCAGTGGCTGGAGCTGTGCTCTCCGGGAGCACGGTGCGGGTGTGAGCTCAGCCTGCAGCCCCAGCTCCAGGCCCGGTCACACATCCTGCCTGTCGGAGGGCTGGCTACCAGCCGGGCTGGGGATGTGCACACATTTTTTCCATTTCTGGGAACAAGTTAGTGTGCCTGGATCATTTCTAAAGAAAGGTGACAGCAGTCAGAAAATGAATTCCTGCAGGGCACCAGCATCTCCCTGAAACGGGACAGAAACCACCCAGCATCATTGCTTGATGGCCACAGCAACCTGGGCCACAAAGAGCCTTTTGGGGTGGCCAGGACCAGCCCCACAGTGCTGGGTGCCAAAACACACTTGGGACTGTGTGGAAGGGGTGAGGGGCAGCTGGTCCGGGCTCCTGCAGCCCCTGGGCACCCCGGCCACATCTCTGTGTGCCCGTGTCACCCCACGGCACCCTCTGGATCCCCTGGGCAGCAGCCCGGCCTGCACAGAGCCAGGTGCCTCAGGCCCAAACCGCTGCCAGGCCGAGGGAGGCCTGGGGGCTGCTGGTGGCTCTGGGGGGCATTTCCCTGGCAGTAGAGTGAAGCACAGGCTGGAGAAGGAGAGGGGTACCCACTGGGCAGGGACGGGTGGCCCCAGGATGGGCTGCAATGGGGTCCTGGGCTGCTGGGGATCCCAGGCAGGGCCAGGCCGTCAGCAAGTAAGGTATTTCACAGTTTCTAAACCCACTGCAGACCCAGAGGTGACACAAGAGTGGTGTTCACCCATCAGCTTCTGTTGAACCAGCCTTTGTCATTTCTCCTGGCCTCTCAGACAAGCTGTGCTTTTGGTTTCGTGACACGAATACCCCAGCTTATATCCCGATAAGGTTTGACACAATACCTCTAAGGTCGTGCAATACGAGGAGCAGGAATAGTCTGTGGCCCTTGGTGCAACAGAAACCTGCTGCTTGCTGCGCTGGCGATGCACAGACCTGGCAGGCTGGTTCAGGTGTGCTTGCTGGCAGCATTCAGACTCCTAAGGCCTGAAAAACTGGCTGCGAGTCTCTGTGGCAACATGTTATCTCACAAGATTTACGGTCCACCCTGCTCTGGGTAAAGTCAGAAATACCTCTCCGCTGATCTCTCCTGATATTACCACATTTTCACACCACTGCTCTGACAGTCACAGCCCAGGGAGAAATAATGACGGAGCGTTTACACTTCCACCCCAGGCTCCAGCAAGGAGCGTTCTGGGGCTTTGGTATTTGGGAAGGGTGAGGGCAGGGTCCTGTTACTTCCCAACCTGCAGTTCTGGCTGGAAAATAAGATATGTTTGTGCTCAAGGATGAGTGCCTGGGCTAATGTAGAGAGGAGAAATTGGAGCTTGCTTTCTTCTGTGTCCTCTTCTCCCTTGGTGAAGGCACGATGTAAAGCCCTGCCTGGGTTACGACTCCTCGGTTGCATTTCTCAGCACCAGCATCTGAGCACAGCTGGTCTGCGGGTGAGATGGCCTGCTTGCCCCTGGCTGTGAAACAGGACCACCGCCACCTCGGGAGAGCACCATTTCTCCACAACTCATGCAGTGGGTGATGACGGCTCTGCCAAGCTTTTCTGCTAAAGCTTTCCCACATCACACAAATAATTACACCCCTGTGCTAGAGGAGGAGGGAGAATGACTCGATAAACCTGCAGCAAAGGCAGCGGTGTGGCAAATACGGGTCCAATCTCTCTTCCAGGTAATTATTTATACACAGTGGCAGAGCCCCACATGGACACAGAGACTCATATGTAACTGTCTGTCCTGAAGTGCTGGGGCCCTTTTAAAGTGAAACACAGAGCTGATAGACAACTATCGCTGCCTGTCCCTCACCTGCTGCAGAGGAGCTGCAGAACGCACTGTGCCACCGCACGCCCTCTCGGCGTGGTTATGGGTGAAAGTCCCAAGCTGGGACCCCCGGCTTTGCCATCACCTCCTCCACCGCCTGAGCAAATTCAGGCAGTTCGCAGCACCCTTTTCACCCCACACCCTGTGATGCCCAGGTGATGGGTGGTGACAAGCTCAGGCTGGCACAGCCTGGCATCCTTGGGGCTGCTGCCTTGCTCCTGGCCCTGGCATCTCCCCCTTCTTGCATGGCAAGGCAGAGCTCCTCCAGTGCGAGCTGCTGCTGCCACCCACGGCTGCTGGGCTGCCTTGCAGCGTTGTGCAAGAGCTGGCACAAAGGCAGGCTCCCCTTGCTGCTTTGGCAATACCAGGCTGGCGCCTCATCTCCCGCGGGGAAGTGCCTGTTTTAGTCTGCAGCACCACAAGGCTGCAGGGCAAGCCCTGCGCTGCTGCTGGGGAAGTGGAAGCAGCACTACGTTCCCCAGTGGCACTTCCCTGCGGAGCTGTTGTCAGGTCTTCTGGGGGTTGTGCACGTCGCTCCCTGCTTGTTTGCTGGGACCAGGCTGGAAGCCACTCTCATTTCAGAGCCACAGTCCCCAAAGTGCCAGCAGCTGTGCATAGGCTTGGGAGCAAGGTCCCTTTGCTTCAGTCAGACCTCAGTACAGACAGGGATTTGACTTCATAGCTCAGCAACTGAGCCGTTCGTGTATTTAATTCAGTACCTATTTAATTCTTAAATTTAATTCACTTGGGGCAGGCATTCTGTGCTCAGCCCTTTCCACTTTCCTGGGCCCAGAGCAGCCCTGGTCTGAACTGCCAGCCCAGGACCATGAGCCTCAGACCAGCACACGGAGCGGGCACATCTGCCTGCAAGGGGAGCCAGGGTCAGATCTCTGCGGGGCTGCTGAGCTGAGGTGCAGGCTTAGGACCTGCTCTCCCGTAGCTTCCCTGGCTATAAAATAATATTGTTTAACCAGGAAGTCCCTGCACTCATGTGGCAATGAGGTGGGTCTCAAGTGCAACACTCGCCTCCCTCAACACTAGAAACAGAAAGCTATGAAGTGGGCAGAGCTTCAACATTTCCTTGCTAAGGTTTAGAACAAGATGTAACAGCTGTAGTTAAAATTACCCCATCTCTGCTGCCTCCCACCACACCAGAGAAGATATTTTTAGGTTAAGAGAGTCTTACCACAGAAAGCACTGGTGACAATTTGCTCATCTCCCAGGGAGCTGAGGCAGATAGATCTCAACCATGCTACTGCATGGAGAGCATTAATACAAGCTCGCCAGTGGCTTTCTGATGGCCTTGGTTCAATCATTTAGGCACTGAACCACTCGTTTCCCATTGGATTTGATATGTAGAGAGGTGGCGGCAGATCTCCTATGTCTCTACCAAAGAGGAAGAGGAGGGATGCATTCCCCAGCAGCAATGTGGTCTCGATCCAGCGTGTTCTGAAGGTCCCTGTCCTACCTTCAGTGAAACTGGCCCCAATGCCTCTTCCTCTAGCACTGGTGTGATGGAACTGCCAAGAACAAAGGCAACTCCAGGTTGCCCAAGGGTTGCTGCGTGGTGAGATGTTGTGTCAGTGCCTCTGCTTGGCAAGAAATATGTGGGAAGAGAGAGAGAGCAGAGCTCAGAGAGGCACCTCCAGCTGGCAAGTCTCTCCCAGAGTTTTATTTTGTCAGTGACCTGCTATATGCCTGCCCTGCTGAATCACTGCCATCCCCTCTACTCTTTGTAGCTCAGTCTCTTCCCGCTCCATGGGAGTGATCCATAACAGTCCTCAGTTACCTGTGTGAATATGGTACAAATGCAGGCTTAAGAGCTGTGATCACAGAGTCCAGGGGTTTGGCATATTTGTCATGAGAGGCAGGAGGATACATCCAGTGCTCATACTAAAGTCTTGCACTAATGTGGACGTATAAAATTCTGGGCTGCAAATACGCCTCTGAGTTAAGTGTGTATGTATAAAAACAAGCACGAACTTCATCAAATTAAAAAAAAAAAAAAAGTATATGAGCTTTTCACCGTATATGTTAAAAAAACAGAGAGGGAGCCTCTGAATTTTACCATTCATGTATACATTTATTAAGCCAAAGGAGTTTGATCACGTCATGGTATGTTACTATAGCACATGAGATCCCTTCTCTTCAACTTTGCTAGCAATGGTTATTTTAATTATTTTTTTTATTTTTTTTTTCCTTTTGAGCTTAAACAAATTAACTCTTTCAACATTTCCCCACGAAAGGCTCTTTTGTGGTCCTGTCCTTTCCTTTTTCCTTTCCTTTCTCCTTTCTTTTCCTTTCTCCTTCCTTTTTTTCTTTCATTTTCTTTGTCCTTTCCTTTCCTTATTTTCTTACAGTACAAAACAAATGTTTCACAGACATGTAAACATAACCATCATGGAAATTACACTGCACCTAAAGTTTACTTTACTGTGTTATGGACGTTTTGTTAGATTTATATCCTGTTAGATGTACTTCGGCTCAGTGACTCCTTCAATGGAAGTTACTAATGGCACCTGCACTGCAGTAGTGCCTGGAGGCCCTGGCGAGGGTTAAGGGCCTTCTGTGCGTGGTGCTGTACAAATACTTCAGTGTAACTCACACTGAGGTCCCTGGTAAGAATGGCATTCACTGATCTGATTCACTACAACCCTCTTTGCTTCCCTGTGGTCAGTGGTGACCCTCACAGATTATAGGAGCTGAAGGGAAACTCTAGGAGTTGGCATTCAACTACTACTGAAGAGAAGAGAAATGTTACTAGGGGTCAATCCTGATGCCTGCAGCCCTGTGAGTAAAGCTTCTCACACCCATGGGAATGCTCATACGATTAAGAAACTCCTGTGGGAAAAGTCTGCTGGCTTGAGTCCTTGGATGACTGAACTCCAAGAAACCATGTGAAAAAAGCAGACTGGTTCCTTTTCTCTAGTAATTCTCAGTATAATTCTCAGAGAAGAAGGGACAGGGTCGGCTGCTTAGTTTCAGCATTTCGAATGTCTTGAGTTCTGATCCCCAAATTACAGAAGTCTCTGCTTTGCCTTGGGTTACTGTAATCAGGCCTGGAAAAGTCTGTTGGACACACTTAGTCATCAGGAGGCGGTGGCTTGCCACTACAGCATGGAGGGCCTCTGTTATACGGTGCGAAGGCTGCGTCCTAGGCAGGAATTCTGAAAATTGTGTGCGGTCAACAGCAGAAATTATTCTGAAACCACTTAAGAGCAATTGCAATTTAAATAACGATTTTAACTTGACATTTGAGGTGAAAAAAAAAGAAGGATTACATGAAATAAATAGCAAAGAAACAACGTCCCTGCACAAACATAATATATTCCTGCCTATGAAGCACCCTTTGCAAGTTATTGCCCTTTAGGTTATGTCAGATGTTTAGATGAACCCTTTAGAGCTAAAATACAGTACTCTGAAATGAGGTTAGAAAAATTTAAAAAAAGGGAACTGTGTACAATGCTCTCTTCAAAACAAACTTCCCACTGGGGTAGCCTAGGAGTGCGAGGCCTCAATAGACATAGAGCCGATCTGAGATGGCCGCAGGCATGTGTGTCATGATCTGCATGCGCAGCCACCAGTAGTAATCCATGGGGTGGTAGCGGGTGTAGGGGGTCGTGGAGGTGAGCGCGTGGGCAACGCTCTCGATGACCGGCGAGGTGTCTGTCGAGCCGCTGTTGCAGTACGTCTCCATCTTGCTGACCTGCTCGTCGAAGTACTTCCTGCCGTAGTCTTTGCGCACTATCTCAGGGAGCTCGTCCCACATTTTGTCGGCTATGGCTTTGATCCGCTCGGGGCTGTAGAGGTTGGTGGCAGCTATGAAGTTGCCCGGCTCCACGATGCTGACCATCACCCCCTGGGGCTGCATTTCGTACCGCAGGCAGTCGGAGAAGGCTTCCACGCCAAACTTGGTGATGCAGTACGGCGAGCGGGCAGGACTGCCCATCCGACCCATCATGCTACTGATGTTCACTACACGACCTAGGCGGGGGCCAGGTAGAGCACAGCTGAGCTGAGATGCGCAGAGCAGATACCTGACGCAAACCTCCCACCAGATCCCTGAACGTGCATCCATCCCTCCCCGCATGTCCCTAAGAGCTGCCTGGCAGACCCGCTGGTGGCTCTATCTGAGTATTCCCACCCTATGCACCAGCCTTCAGGCAGGAGAAGCCCACTGCGGGGTGCTCTCTGGCTCCTTGCACCCCAGGGCACAGGCACACAGCGACACACAAAGCGGGGTGCTATGGGGAACACGGAAGAGGCTGGACACAACCTGCATGGTGGGAAACTGGATTGCTCAGCAGCAATCAGGACTGAGCCCAGCCAAGAGGAAGCAGCATCAAAGGAAACCTCTGGCACCAAGACTGAGCTTGTTTATTTGCAAGGCTAAGGCACGATATCCAGGAGCCCAGCAGTAGCTTATAGTGTCTGCCTCCCAAAGGGGCATAGCTTGCTCCCGTACCACAAATGGAAAAAGCAGTCTAAGTCCACTGCATCCTTCTCTGTGTGACAGCTGGATTATGGCTTTGGGCACAGAGCTGCATCTTTCCTCCTCTTTCATTATGGCAGGGGAGAGCACTGGTAGGAGACTGGATGCTGCAGTCTAACCAGAGTCTGCCTTTCTCTGCACTTTCTATCAGTGCTCTGTGATGAGTTATATGAGAAAGAGCAACCTCGACCACAGAAGCAGATACCTTCTCATGGCAGAGAAATGCTCCCTGGGCCACATATAGTAAAAAATATCCTCATTTAGTCAGGTAGTTGGCCCCACTACAAGAACTATTTTGCATTTTTATGCTGAGGCTCATGTGAGCTCCAGAGCCATTGTGCCTGTGCTGTGGGTCACATTCTGTCTGTAAAGGTAGGAAGGTGGCCAGTGGTGCAGGGAGAAGTGTAGTAAACCTTCTGGTCTCTGTCACAGTAAGACACGGGGCAGGGCAAAGGACCCATTCCACCAAGTGAAAGTCAGGAGGAAATCACTCACCCTTTGACCTCCGGATGAGCGGCAGGAAAGCTTTGGTGGTTCGCACAGTGCCCCACAGGTTCACTTCAGCCACCTCCATGTAGGTGTCCATGCTGGTGAACTCGACTTCCCCAAACGTGGAGATCCCAGCGTTGTTAACCAGTCCCCAGAGCCCTACAAGATAAAATCAAGCAGAAAGTTTTCCCTCTATGAAACCTATGAGATCAGCTTGGAAAAGGCCTGGTTAATAGATAACTGAACCAGAAAGCTCTTCATTAAGACCTGTAATGATGACAACCAGATAGAAGAGAACCCAGAGCAAACCTTAGTCTCCTGAACAAATATAACCACAATCAAAATCTGTTTGTACTGCCCAACACTGCAACCACAAAGTACTGTGAGGATGCCTTCCAGTGAAATTCTGAAACAGCAAACAGAGGATTTCAGCTTGTCCAAGCTGTTCTGCTTGATATTCTCTTTTTATCCATCATGATTTTTAAAAGCAGCAAAAGACACTTTCTAAGTGTAAATAATAAGAATAGAAAAGGCTTTGTAAGAAACAAAAGTAATTCTTTTGGTGTAAAATCTCTTGTGTCACCATAAGATTTAGAATGTCTGCAATACTGGTAAGGAGGATATGGAAATGGCTGAGCCTGCCATGGCCTCTCCCTTTTATTCTACTCTAAGCAAGATATGAAAAGAAGCTATCAACTTATTTGCCAATGAAAACAAAGTTTAGAAAGGAATTTGGAATAAAATGAACTTGCTTCATATATTTTCTAATTGCACAGGAAACAGACTGAGAAAGGACCAGGTTGGCATCTCTCTGCTTTTTATAAAATCTTACTGTTAGCTGTTGACTGACTGTGTCTAGATCTATGTTCTCAGAAGCAGCCTAGAAACACCCTCTTGGCCAATGCTTGAGATTACAGGGCTGGCAAACTTTATAAAGAAGAAATGTATACATAAAAATAAATATAAAAAAAAAGTAAAAGAAATAGGTTTTTGCAAAATCCAAAATAAAAAAATTACTGGCTGTTCTGTTTGTGAACAACCTTCAGGTGCTGAAGTGGGACACTCCTTAAGGAGAAAAATGCAGGTCACCAAAGGGTGGAAAGGTTTTATGAATGCACGAGCAACTGGAATTTTCATAGTACCAGAACAGAATTTGCTGTCTTCACATCAGAATGAGGCAGGCATGCTAAGAAAGACAGGTACAGCTACCCCTGGAACTATGAAATGTATAATATATGGTAGTATTTACAATAGCATTAATAATAGTCAGCTTCATTAGAAATCCTTTTGATAACATCTCCATTTCCTTCGTTTTTAGAAAGTATAGGGGAGACACTTTGGTTGCTAATCCACAATCTTTGGGCACTGGCCACGTTTTAAGACATAAAGAGGGTCGCAATAAACATCAGTTCACAGGAGTAAAGCACTCATCCCATGGCCTTGAAGCACCACTCCAATTTCTGCTTACGTCCCTACGGGAGCTAGTGAAGAAAAAAGTCAAGTTCTTTTTTTGTTGTTGTTTGCTTGTGTGCAGATGTTCTCTTAAGGTGCAAGTGGGAAGCTGCCTTCTGAAGTGGCACATTTAAACAGACCATTTGCTCTGCACTGCTGCTCCTCAAAGCTTTTTGCCCTTCAATGTATTACTGCTCAGCTTCTGAAGTGTGCCCTGAAAATGCTCTCGGTGCCCAGCTGAGGGAGCTCTTGTCACCTGTCTTCGTGTGACCTGACAGACCTCTGGATGCACCAACCTTTCTCTGGGTCCTCCAGGCTGCTATTCACATGCTCCACTGCCCGGTCCACTTCTTTGCTGTCACACACATTGAGCTGGACAGTTCTCATTCGGTCACTCTTCATGTTGTCCAGATCCTTGGAGCCACCATCTCCCTTGTCCTAGAGGGGAAGAAAGAGCTGGTTTGAATCTGGCCAAAGAACTTGTGTAGAAGATCAGAAATGTATCGACCACCAAATCAAGCAAGAGAGTGCAGAGGGCAATTAGAATGATCAGGACAGTCCTGCAGTTCAAAAAGGCACAGACAGGGCTGTTCCTGCAGAAGAACACCATTCCTTGAGCAGCTCCATCTGACCATCAGCCCTGTCATCGAATCGGCTGCTACAAACTGCTGTGGCAATCAAGAAAGCAGGAGGAGCTGGATCTGCCCAGCAAGATTACTCCTGCCCAGTACAAGCTCTGAGATCAAGCTATGATCCACTACCACAGGTGCTGTGGTCACTTTGGCCAGTGCACAGGACACAACAAACAGTGTGGTGGTGGTAACGATATAAAACACATACACGCCATATTAGTATGAATTTGTAGCTATCCCTGAATTGCTTTCAGACTGCCCACTTGCCCCCTCAGAGAGCCCACTTCAGATACCACACTACCCATACAAGAGTGGCCTTACACACTGCTCCGTCTCTGGGCCACCTTATCTTCCGAAACACCTTCTCCTGGATCCTCTTGTTCCTGGGCTTATCTGCTGGGCTCACACACAGGACACCAAAGCTCACTGACTGGGGTACCTGGCATCTCCTTTATCTTCTCCACCCTTCCTTATTCCAAAGCAGATTGTTAATACTGGTTAGTGCTGGTCCTTAAGAGAAGGCATTTACTGCATTCTCCTCATACAGAAGCAACTCACATACAAAATGGAGCCATTAGAAATCCCATGCATAGCTTTATGGTGTTTGGTTTTATGGTCAACAAAAACAGCTTCATGCTAAGTTTGTTGCTCACTCAAACCCACTTTGGTGCTGAGTCAGCACGTATGGCAAAGCACTGGAAAGCACACAAACGGCCCAAAAAGGGGAATAAGGAAAAAAGGGAATAAGTTGCCAAAAGGGAATCAGCAAATGTAAGCATACAAGTCCCTTGGAATCAGCAGATAGAGCTAAAAGGAAAACAGCAAAGCCAACGTGCTTCTTTCTCCAGTGCCAGGTCTGCGAGGTGCTATGAAATCACCTGCCAGAGGAGAAAACTCCAGGAGCCACTACGTGGGCACAAGGTGGAGAAAAGCACGTGGCTCAACATGTCAGAAGTTTTGGCAAAAGATGTGCAGCAGTGGACTTCTAAGTATCCAATTCTCTTTGCATGACCAAGTCTACAGGCCACAGAAGTTCACCAGCGTCAGAGGCCTCATAAGCTTTGCTGGAAACTTCACAGCATCCCCTTCCTCCTCCCTCACTGAGCTGGCTCTGCGAGCTCTCCCTGAGCTGGGATCCTGACCCAAGAGTTAGACCCCAGCCATTCACCCAGGCCCACAGGGTCATCCCCTCAGCTCTTCACAAAGGGCAGAAGGGGGGTGCTCCAGCCAGGTACCCTGTGACTGTGTCATGTCCTCCTGGCACAGAGCACAGCACATCCCTCAGCCCCTGGGCCCCACACAGCAGTGGAAGGGCCTCCTCATGCATCCACAGGCCCCATGGCAAGAGGACCCAGCTCTCATACATCTAAAAAGCACACCACTGCCTCGTCTTCCTCTTTCCACAGTCACTCTCATGGCCATCAGCTTGGATCTCTATCACCGCATCCCTGAAGTGGCACGTCACACCCTCTCAGCACTCCTTTGGGCCCTCCAGGAACTTGCCTGCATGCTGGGCTGCTAAGATAACCTCTGCCTGCTCATTCCCCTGCAAGAGAGGCCTGAGCACACACAGCAAAGCAAACAGGGATTCCACGACACTCCTGACAGCCATGACAAACACCACATATGTCCACTGGTAACAGATACTGCTGGAAAAATACCTTCTTCATCTCGTGTCAGCTGGCTCCTCCAGCTGTTAACCAAAGAGGAAAAATAAGACAGCTGCAGCATGATTGTTCATGGGATCCAGTCTACTACTGTCTTTTGGCAACAAAGCATCAACACTCGCTGATACATTTGTTGTTGAAAATGTTAGTAACAAACAGTGTGAAATAGCACTTAGCACGGATGCATCCTTGGGGTCCCCTTAGTCATGACTCCAAACACCTCCCAGGTCTTCAGCAAAAAACAGCCAGGCACTCAGGATCTGGCCACTCTAGGAAACCTTTCCTAATGAAAGGTCAGCACTGTACACACTTTTTATCTGCAAGGAGAGTGCACACCCAGGGGACACGATGGCTGCCCAAATTGGAGTATGTTTCTGATGTGCAGCTGTGCTCTGAGAAGCAGTCACATGAAAATAACACTCAAGTTTCATACTCATTTCCTCTCAGTGAGGGCTAGGACAAATATACCCAGTTTACAAGCAAAATGTGATGCTTCTTACTTCCACCTCTAGTTCCACGTAGAACCTAAAACACACTAGGCATTCTCTGTCCCTACGATCAGCACCAACAATAACACTGATCAGAATTATCTATGTTTTGTCTGATGAAACTTACGGCATAAATAGAAGTCAGCTCAGTCTCTTGGTTAGTTCTACAGGGCTAAGAACTTTTTTTTTTTTTTTTCATAAAGTATATGACCTGAAGACAATGAACATGGGAGCTTATAGTGTTTTTTCTGATGACAGTTGCTGTCACCAGTCTTGCCATGGTCACACAGATTTTGGAACATGGAACGTGAATCCAGATTTAAAAAAAAACACACAGCATTTAATTATACAGAGATAAAGCAAAGATTTCTGCTGGTTCTTGGAGAGGAAACAAACATTGATAAAAGCTAAAAGGAGTTCAGTCATGTGCTTTGTTTCAGCTTATTCTGAAATTGTCAGAGTCCATGATTTTCCACTAATGTGCTTGCAGTAGCATGTGTATTGAAGACACCAAAATGGAAGGGAGGTTTCAGCAACAGTTAAACACATGCTCACTGAAGATCAGGTCTTTCTGGCAGCTCAGACTGAGGAAGTGAAATACAGAAGTAACCCTGTAGCTCTGAAATTTTGGACTACTGTCAACATATAGGCAGGCAATTATTCTGAACAGTGGTTTTTAAGTCTCAGTGTTATTATCTCTTCTAATGTTGACTTTTAGTTACAAAAGCAGAGTAAAAATAGCTGCAAAAAAAGCAGCTTTCTACCCTCCCCCTTTTCAATACCTTTGGAAAAGCAGCAGTTTATAGAAGGTATCTTGTTCTGCTGTGAAGCCTGTAGAGGGAGCCCATGTTAAAAAATACAGCCTTGACCCAAGGCTGAGACACCGCAAGGGGACAGAGTAATCTGAACACAAATTTCTCATTTGAAAAAAATGTGGCAGAAAAAAACTAATAATTTAAGCAAAACTTTGTAATAATGGAAAGACTAACATCAGAAAAAGTATTGATAACATTTAAAAAAAGAAAACAACACCTGACTAAGTCTCTTTAAATAATATAACTATTCAGGACACATTTGCAGTGATAAGTGAGCAAAAAGATTTGGATCAAAGTAACTGACCCACCCCAGGATATCCTGAGGAGTAGGTTTGTTTCCATCAGGAAATGGCCATGCTGCTGAAAATGTGCCAGTGTTTCATAAGGAAAGGCTAAAGCTGTTATTCACCATGATGAGGCATCTCTGACTGCTCTTCGAGAGTATTATCAACAACTGCACCACTCGGCTATTTGTGACCTGAATCTGCTCTCAGTTGCACTAGTGAGACTTTACCACCTTCACAGCGAGTTCAGTGTGCACCTTCAATGCACACTAGAGCACGGTTGTATTCACCTATATAGAAATAAATCCTTATACCATATGCTATAAAATCACTGGTGGCTTGGTGGATATAATAATTACAATAAACTCTGAATAATGATGTATAAACTGAGTGCAGTTCCAAAGATCCAGACTCAGCCTGGTACTAAAAGTACTTATGAATAAGCCTATAAACTCAGGTGTGGGGTTCTAGTTGACTGGGATTGGAACAGACTACAGTGTTGTAATTCAAATAAGAACCTTTCTGCAGTGCTGGTTATGGTCTAGACTAGATAAATACTCTATGAAATTCAAGCACCTGTGCCTTTCCCTTTGGGCTGCCAACAACCCTCCCTCTCCTTGGCAAGATGCTCTGCAGAGCGGAGATGAAAGACTGGATTTGTTGTGTCTGTTCACGTGCCACAGATGAAGAACAAAGTTTTTGGTTTTCCTACCTTTTGCAGGCAGCCAGCGTAAACAATGAAGCCTTTGGCATGCAGGTGCTTGGCCAAGGCAAATCCAAACCCTGAGTCGCAACCTGTTATAAGCACAGCTCTACTGCCGATCTGCAAAACAAAACAAAACAATGCGATGGAACTGAGTACTCAAAATCAGTGACTTGCAGTACGCAGAACAAAACCATGTCCTTGGCCAGGAGCAGTCTGTTCCAGGGACATTTTCAATGCTCGTTGCCAGCTACTGCCACCCAGAGCCTCCTGAAGACAAGAAACAGGTTCTAGCACCTCCAACAAACAACTTTGAAGGCAGAGACCAAGCAAACTATCACTCTCTGGCAGTTCACATCCATCATGAAATCTGAAAATATACCAGAGAGTTCTCAATAAATTATTTTTCTTCAATAGCAACTGCTCCTATTGTTCCGTGCCTTGCAGCCTGTAAGGTGTGGGGAAGATAGGTAGACTAAAAAAAGGTGATATGTTAACCTTACTGACTGCTCATTTATCTTTCTCCCTCTAGTGTATAAAACCTCTGGTGCTGCATTTTAAAAGCTAAGTAGAATCAAGGGAATTGAAATTAAGACCAGTTGGTGATTCATCTTTTCTTTTTTTTTTTTTGTCTTCTGATCTTTCTAACTTATAATTTAAATAGAAGTACACCTCTTTCCTTCTCCAAACCCCTTGCCATAGCCCAAAGAGAGGCCACAGTTAAGCAGTGTGTTGAGAACCACACAGTGCATCAAACATCCTAGCAGCAACAGGTGCGCATGCAGCAAGGTGCTGCTGTGGGTGGGATGAAGTAGTAACTGCTTGCAATTCATTCCAACTCATCTCTGTTAAAACTGGAAACATGGCCTTCCAAAGGATACACAGGGACTGATCAGTCACACCTAGCAATGACGTGAGGGCTGCACCTGAATTCCTTTCAACTCTGTCCAAGGCTTACAGAGCAAGATGTGCATGCTCAAGCCCTGCTACAGTGCTGAGTTCTGTGCCACATGACAGACAACAGGGCAAAACAACCCCTTTCCATTTGCTTGGCACTATTTCTGTCAAGCTACCGCCTTCAAGGAAAAGGCTATTAAAGAAGGGGATCACTCTCCAGAATAAGATGAGGACACACCAATTTGTTTACATGACTTTATACAACCATACACTGGAAAGAGATTTGTTAAGAACCTGTCATAGAAATACCCTCCACTCTAAGGTGGAAGATTTCATCTGCTGAGTGAGTTCCAAAAATAGAAAAAAAAACACTGGTGCGATTGTTTATTTCCATCCTTAGTAGCATGTACCGTGTTGCGTCAATGGAAGCTCTGTGCTAGGAAAGAATGTGGAGTATGCTGAAGAGGTCCAGCTCGGAGTCTTTCGGGCGAATAGGAAAGAAGAATTTGGTCACCAGACTTCAGGGAGTTTAAAGCTCCAGCTCAGTAGAACTGGTTCCCAATCTGGAAACCACAATCACACTCACCTGATCAACCTCACTTGCATAAGAGCGGCTACCAGATGAGGACAAGAGAGGGAAGCAAAATCTTTTCACAGGCCTGTTAAAAAAATACAGAACAATCAGGCACAGGATATCTTGTCCATACCCTCGTGCTGCAGCATTACACATGAGAGAGAATGTGGTGTTACCTTTGTACATGGTGCAGACTGTCACTTGAGAGGACAGAATCTGGACATTTCTTCCTCTGCAACGTCTATCTATGCATTAGATACTCTTAGACAGATCTTATATCTCCTCTTTGCAACTGCTTAAACTAAGAGATACTCGTTTCTTGAGCAGTATCTGCCATGCAGATCTGAAGCTCCTCTGCATGGTATGTCTGAGTCTGAAGTAAACAAAGTGTGTTCACAAATACAGACCACAGCAAAGCAACAATGCCTTCCAGGTGAGTGTCTGTTTATAAAAGCTATGCAACTAGTAGCATCACATTGTCTTAGGTCTTACTGTCATTAATCAAAATCAGGCCTAGACAACACATCAGATTGACCCTGTCCTCCATCCTTGCCAGACACCTCTCTGGACTATCTCTGCTTTTTCATATTTTGATCTGGGCCCTGACATGGCCCCCTGCCTTCTGGCTTTCCCCTAGACATGCTGTATTTCAGCTGCTCTCTGGTTCCTCTAACATCTATCCTTCAGTAGAGATTATCTTCCAGGCCACTCTTCTAAGTGAATTTGCTTAATCACCCACAGTTATCTCCTGCTCAGACATCACAGGCACTCCTAGGGTGACCTGTACAACACTGAACAGCAATCTGCGGACACTCTGGCCTCTGAGCTGCATTTTCTGCTAACAGGGCTAAAGACAGGGTGTAACAGCACAACAGCTTTGAAGCAGGTGGGAAGGGAGCTGACCTACGTACAGGTAATGGTATCCACTCACCTTCCTGCTCTTCACAGTTCCGCTCTTTTTCTAACTTTCAATGTCAGAAGCTCAATCAACTCTTGAAACAGCAATGGCCAGTCTACTTGCTGCAAAGGTCAGACCCCAGACCCAAACTGCCTGTTAACATTACTGACCGGAATCCTGGCTTAGAACGTTTGTCTCAACACTAAGCTTCTCTGTGTTTTTCAAAGTGCCCAGATACATTCATAATGTTTCTTTTAGTTGTATGAAGTTAATTTTTATTTTTCAGTGTCACATCTGGTCCTGTTATTTCACTGCAGCACAGTGAACAACTGATTTGCTGCACTCTATTCACAGTAACCTATAGTGAATAACTGCTTCATGTTCTTTCTACCTTGACTCAAAGGCAAGGGCATTAAAGTCGATGCCAGCTGCTGATCAGCAGGAATGTCATCAGAGGAAACAGCTAAGAAGCACAGACGATGCTAGCCCTCAAGTACACTAATGTACCATGAGCCATTTTTGTCATTCTGCATGACCGAATTCTAGAGATCACAACTGAGGCTTTTAAAATGCACAGATGGTCCACAAATTAAATCTGTCCTTGTAACCACACATTTGTTTTTGTTCAGTTACACTAATAAAAGCATTTCTCAGCTTGAAGAGTCAAGTACACAAATGTTACCTTAGTGCATTAAGATACTGCTATCATGGTCAACACCATCTTTCAGACAAACAGTTGCATTTCCATTTCAGATTTAGCAGTGTATGGGTAGTTCAAAAAACACAAAACTTTGTACCAAGCCCCAACTACAAGAAGCACAAAGTGAAAAAAAAGTCTTTTCTGAACATAATAAAACATTAATTTGAATATTTAAGGCCACAGCAGACAGATTCCTGCTGGTGCAGCTTGAGTCCGTTGTGGAGTAGATAGCAGATAAAAGGGTCAACCTGTTTGCATAGGAAATCTTTAATTGCTTTGCTATCTTTGCTCTTTACAGCTCTGTCACAGGAGCCATCCATGGCAGTGATGGTGTCACACACTACTATCAATAGCAGTGGAACAACAACAGAAGTGGCAATTCTAGCTTAGTCCATTAAACTGCTTGTTTACAATTAGCAATACACACACTATTGTTTGGGAACCTTGCTTTAAAGCAAGCCCTGTGAGAATAATCAATTTGCTCTGAATTTGAACTAGGAGGGTTCCTATTAGACACTACTGATATATATATCAGACGACCTAGGAGTTAGAATTAAATAGGCATTTTTTTGCCTATTCATGTTCAGAAGAGAAAAAAAAAAAGAAAAAAAAAACACTATCAGTTTCATTACCCAACCCAAGTTTCTTTCCACGTCTTCTTCACCAAGTTACTTACCTGAAGCCATTCCCTGGGTCCTTGAAATTCAGTTTTTTCAAAGAGATGTTCAGGAGAGGCCGGGACAGCTTGGTTGCCAACATGTTTCCAATTAAGACACTCTACCAACAAGGCAGTTCTTCCTTAGATCTGCAAGACAAGATAGCACCTCAGCTTTAGTTGCTCAATTATTTTGTAAGTCATGCTGACTCCAAGTATTTCAAAGAGAAAATCAAGTCCAAAGAACTCATCTTTCCCCCTGGCTGTCCCTCACACCGAGATAAACGGCTCAACCTTCAGCCACCTCGAGCTGCCTTTAAAGAAGGAAAAAGATTACACGTAAACTGACGAGCAGGAAGTCATTTCAAGAAAACGTCCGTTTCTCTTTGTTTAATGCATACTAAACTATATTATCAGAAATAGCTAAAAACTGAGTTGTTAACTCATGCAATATATTATTTCAAGTGAGAAATAGAAAATATTTTTCAACTAAAACAGAAGTTCAAGCCACGGGTGACGTGACGTTATGTGTTCCCAAAGCAATCCCTGGGCTTTATGGCTCATACAGCCACGTGCTTAAAAATAAATTTCTTTGTAAATTAATTAACTGGACGATGCACACGGAATGAGTAAGTTATTAGGGGAAGAAAACAGCTCAAGAGCTGGAGTGAAGCACAGAAGGTCGATTTCAATCGTATCCCCTTTGGATAAACTGGATCCAATGCACACTATGCAAACACAGGCACACAAAAAAACGTCTCCCCAGCCTAAAGCACAGCCTCCTCCATTACAGATGAGAAATGCTGCCTAGTTTGGGGGTCTTTTTTTATATCTCTGCTGAACTCTGTGCTGCTGCCGCAGCTTCAAGGCCTGCAGCGTGAAAGGCCTAAACGAAAAAAAAAAAATAAACGTCAAATTCCCGATAAAAGAGCTGTTGTTGGACAGCAGGCTAGGAAAAGAAAGCTCTAGAAACCTCGATGAGGGCAGCTTTGCGGCGCTGCGCTGCGAGGTGCCGGGGGTCCTGCTGGCCCCTACCCCCTGCTGCTGCCCGGCCCGGAGCTCGGACAGCTGCGGAGGGGGCCCAGGGGGCTGTGCCCTCCCTGCCGGCCCCGAGCAGGTGGAGGCAACCCGGGAGGGCGAGGGAAGATGCCGACCCCTGGGGATGTCGGCGGGGGGGAGTCCCGGGGAGCCGCGCCGCGCCTTACCTGGAGCCGGCGGGGGGCTGCGGGGCGCTGCCGCCGTTTGAATGAGGCTGTGGCGGTGCCGGTGCCCCGGGGGCGGGCCGGGGGAAGGGCCGGGCCGGGCGGCGGCGATAGGCTGCGGCCGCCACGGGCTGCGGCCATGCGGGGCACCGCCGGGCTGCTGGCGCTGGGCGCTGCCGCCGGGCTGCTGGCGGGCGGCGGCGGGCGGTGGCTGGGCCGCCTCCTTCACCGCCTCCTCCTCCTGCCGCCGCTCCGGGCGGTGCGGGCTCGCCGCGCCCTGCCCGTGAGTATGGGGAGGGCGGCTGGCACCCAGAGGGGTCGGCGCTGCGCCCTCGCCTCACGGAGAGCCGGGCGTGGGGAACTCTGCCCGGCTCTGTAGGGGGTCCCCAGGGGGAGAGGATGGAGAGAGAGGGGGGCTTGGAGCGGAGGCAGAGGGGCCAAGGCTGGAGGCTGAGGCAGCCCCCGCGGCACAAAATGGCGGCTGCAGGGGGAGCGGCCCCGCGCCACAGCGCCCTGCCCGCGGCGGGGCCCGGGGCCTGAGGGGATGAAGGGCGGATAAAGGGCTAAAATGGGGTCGGTGAGGGGTGAAACCCCCAGGTTTGTTATGGCGCCTGGGGGGTTGAGTGAGGTGGCGCTGTCGGTGTTGCTGCAGGGATGACCTCTGCACTACTGTAACACAGTTTCACGCCAGGACGTTCATAAAGCAAGCAACGCGCGGGTTTTGGTCCAGCGTTCTAAATTTGGGAGTGGAAGGGAGAAAAAAGCCCCGTGAATAGAACAATTGCATAACTAGTTTCCTTTTATACGTTACAAAAACAAATAAAAAATGTCTGGGGTGCTTTCACTGGTTTGGAGCGAACTTGGCTCTTGCTTATGCCCCAAATAGCTTCTGCAGGCACCAGAGAGAATCTGCAAGCAGACGTATTTTGTTCGTGGGCAGAAAACACTTTTGACCTGTTTGCAGCCTCCTGCTCCTCTTGCCTTCTATGCTCTGCTCCTCTGGCACCTCCATCCTATCTGCATTTCTGTCATCAGAAACAAGGAGAGGAGAGTATCTGAGTGAGGGTAACACTACGGCCTTCTCCAGAGGTTCAAGGAGCAGTTGTGTGTCTCCTCGTCATGAAGATGATGGATGGCACGCTACTTGGCCGTAAGCCTTTGGCTTGGAAGGCCTTTCAGCTGTGACAGCTTGTGCCGAACTTCTTGCACTTAAAATTTCCTGTATGACTTTTCCCTCTGGACATTCATCATGCTGGAACAGAGGTGGTGGTGTGCTTCTGCATTGTAACCAGGCGATACCTGCTGTCCAGAATTGCAGGAAATCAGTAATACAGAGATTCCTTTAGCGAAGGAATTGTGTGTCTGGGGAATGTTCTGCAGCCAAAGATTTTTGTAGGTTGGGAAAATAACTTTTCCTTAGGGAATATTTTCAGCTTGTTTTCCTCAAATTGAAAGCCTCAGATTCACAACTCTGGAAATAAGGAACAAGCCAAGTTTACTGTGTAACTGTTTGTTCTTATCTTCAAGTTAGCCTACCTGAAATTAAAAAAAATAATAATAATCTTAAGGGAGGTCATCAAAGGGAACAGGATTCAGAAAATAATGTGGCACAGAGTGGAAAATGATCAAGTCTAGGCAAGCGTGGTGGGTTCCCAAATCCTCGGGAAGACAAAGTGCCTTCCTTAGCCTGTATTGCCATAAATGTGTGTAATTTGGATATGTCACCTGCTTGAGTAAAATAGGTTTTACTGATTAACAAAGCAAAATTATGGCCAATAGGAAAAGCTGGTGGAGTGTATGTATCTGAGCTGGCTGCAGGCTGAAACCAGTCTGCCTCACTGGAGCTATTTGGACTGTGGGAAAATGTGTTTTACTGGTAAAGTGCCACAGATCATGGGCAGTGATACAGACATTACCCTAACCAGTACCTTAATGTTACTCTAACAAGGTGCCACAGCAGCACCTCCAACATAAGGTTTTATTCCACACTCTTAGGTGGTCTCCCGTGCCCCAACAACATTGTACAGTTTTCTTTGTAGTGTTCCCTGAGAACACTGTAGGACCTGTTGAGTGAGGCACCTGAAATTCCTTAAAATATTGGTTAACGTCACTGTGATGCCAGTTGTGTGAGGCAGGAGCCAGTTCTCTGCCTGCACGATAGTCACCCCTTTCTGTCTCACCACGGTGTCAAGCTGTGAGCTGCAGATTGACCCTTATCAAACTCCGGGAGCGAGGCCTATTAGGCCTTATCTCGGGCACTTTCAAAGGGTGAGGATGGTCAGGCTTTTCCGCGTTCAGAGTTGTTTTTTTTTTTTGTGATAGGATCTCTTTAGGTGCATGCCTTGGCAATGGATTCGATCCCTGTTCAATCCCTGGAAGCTCTCTGTCCACCACGCATGTCACAAAGACAAGGGCAGCTACAGATAGATCTGTTAGATCCCTTGGGTTTTCTGTGCTTGCTTATTAATGCTGCTGGGACCTTGGTCTGTTATATACCATGTTATAGTAGTCACGTGTTTTATTACCAGCAATTAGAATAATAACAAGTAATCACCGGAACTTTCAGTACTGTAGGTTGTTGCTCACTTTTCTTCTTATAGACAGCTGAGGAGATGTTTTTTTTCCATGCCCTCATTTTTGTATACATTTTGGTATTTGGTTTGTTGTGTTTTTTGTTGTTGTTGTTGTTTTTTATACCAGAGAAAACAAACCGACTGCTGAGAGCTAAAATTAGATGCAGACACAACCACAACCCAGCCGTTTGTCGATAGGTCTTCCTTTATTACCTGCATGTGAGTGAGCTCTGTCCCACTCAGACCTGCTGCTGAGAGCTGACTACAGCTGAGGGTTGTGCATCTTATCCATTTGCCTCTTCTGGCCTGTGGAAAAAGGATCACATCGCTTTATCTCCTGCTCAGTTCCTCTGCTTTCTGGGAGTCCCTCTCCTTCAAGATTCAGAGGCAAAGGGTGTAGGGAGGTAAGGCAGAGGAAGAAGTCCAGTCTTTTTTTCTCTAAGCACCAGGTTGCTGAATTAATGTGGGAAGTGACCTTGGCAGATCTGTGATCTGGTTTGTTATTGATCCTCGCATATCTTGGAGCTGTGTCACTGTAAATTAAGTGAAGGTTGACCACTATAGTTAGTTCTCACTTACCCTTTGTCCTTTAGCTGTAGCTACCTTTAGAGCTTGGGTAGAACTAGACTGTATCTGGGTGCTTTTGGCGTGAGTGTAGGAATTGGTATTTGTGTGAGATGCTGTGGGTGTTTGTATGATAAATGAGGGAGAGACTTTTGATCTGCTCATTTCATTAGGAGCTTCCTTTGAAACAGTAACTTCAGTGTGAGATACTGGATGGGACAGGGTGTAGCTCATTTGCCTATTGCTGTCTGCCTGCTTGGGCTCATTCTGAGTATGTGCAGTAACTGATCGCTATCGCCCGCAATTATTCCTTATTGCCGTTTCGCTACCACACGTCAGCAGAACAAGAGATCAGAGCACTGCTAATTACCCTGTTTCTGTCTGAAACAGGGGCTGGGCAAGATGGTACAGTTTGTACATAAGTAGTGTAAAATACAAATGCTCATGTTCTAGATATTGTTAGTACGGTAATGGAGAATATTAGCTGCAGATATCGCCACAGAGATGGAAGTGAGCTCACTTCCTTATTGCATTCTCTAGATATTTATTGCTGTATCACGTTACTGCCTTACAGATAGGGTTTCAGTTCGGAGCAGTCTGGAGCACTGCAGCTGGGTGGCTGCAAGTTGGGCTAAATGTTACGAGGTCCTTGCTTCACAGCTATGGTGAGGAAAGAGCGAGAACGATGGCTTTCAAGCAAAGAAATAGGGTGAATGTGCGATGTTTTGGTACAGAATCCTATTCAGGATTTTGGATTCTGTTTTCAGAACTATCACAGGCCTGCTATGTCAAAGCAGATGTAGTATCAGATCTTCTCTCCAACTTCATCTGCCAGTCAAAAGATAATAATAATGTAGGAAGGAAAGGAAAGAACTGTGGGATTTGATAAATGGTTGCTGTTAAGAGTGCAGTGTTTCAGAAGGAAATATTGCTGCATGTAAAGCGTGGCATGGAGGGTGGTGCACTGAGCAGGTGGGGTACAGGCAGCAGTCACTGCAGCTAAAAGAGCTGCTCTGCACTTCAAGCAGGTGACACGCTGTCATGCTGATGTTTTCTATGCTGCTCTTTCCTATAAGCCTGTGAGCTGATAGGCATGTTTTTAAATGTTTCTCTACTGTTTTGGCCACTAATACTTGAAAGAATGAGCTGCTGTTTTAGGTAGGGTGTTAAGGCAACACACATAGTTACAGACTGGCAATTGAATACATTTAGGATTTCACAGTTGCTGGGGACTGGTTATGTTTCTACACAGTTACCTTCTCTAAGCTGATTGACCCAGCCAAAACTCCACTGAAATTGTTGGGTTTTGATTGCCATCAAACAGGTCTGTGGCCATTGGGTCTGTGCTCACCACCACACACGGGGAAAGGGAGCTGAGCTACACAGGGCTATGACCTGGCTTCAGTTTAGGATATTGCTTTGTGTAGAGTGATGCTTGGCCAGAATTATGCATCAGGTCTGAGCTCACTCTGGACTGGAGGGAGATTATCCCAGCTCTTTCGGACGCATTCTGAGGTGTTTTACAGGGGGTGCCTTTTACAAGAGATTTTTACTGCTAACTTGGATCGAACAGCCATTGCTCGGATGGTTCAGGTCAGGTGAGCTCAGTCGCACGCAGGGCCCAGATAGCAGCCACATCATCTCCTAGTTGCTGAGGGTTCCTTCTAAACACAGCCTGGCCCTGGCTGTGGAGCTGCGAGCTGCTCCTTTGTGGTGTAGCTCAGTGCTGCTGGTACCTACCCCACTGCAGTGTCTGATGGTGTCATGTTATTGTCTTTCTGCATACAGGTTGAAGGGAAGGCGGTGCTCGTAACAGGCTGTGACAAAGGTTTTGGACATGCCTTGGCTAAACAGCTCCATGCAAAGGGATTTACTGTTTTCGCTGGATGTTTGCTAGCGGTGAGTAGTAACATTGATCAAAATTCTTCTGTGACTGGAGAAAAATGCTTCTCAAGGAACAGCCTCTTCATCTGCAGCTTCCATTCGCCCTAGTCCAAGACCCGTGGGAGGTACGGTGGGCAAGGATCTTTTTATCTTCCTTTGTTTCATCGGCGTGTTGCATCTTGTCATCCCTGTAATTCTGAGCTCTTCAGGGCAGAGACTGTCAGCTGCGTGTCTGTACAGCAGCTTGCGCAGTAGGGTGCAAGGTTCCAGTTCACTTCTGGAAGCCTCTCAGCAATAATGCAACACATGCAATAAATTTGATGGTCCAAGAGTGCTATGGCACCATGGCTTGTTGTCTTTCCATGTGTCTCCATTGCTGTCTTTTGTACTGTCACTTTCCTCTGGGGACACTCTCAAACTCATCTCCAAGCCACCTCTCCTGCCTTGCTGCTCTTCAGCACCCAGAGTGTTTTCTTTCCAGTATTGCCAATTGCTGTCTGTCTTAATGGATGTCTTAATGGATTTACATCCTAATTTCAGTGTCTCATTTCTCAGATATTTTTTCTTCTCCTTCAGTGCAAGTGCTACTTCTGCTGTTTTGCAGGGATTGAGCACTCAATTTGATAAATGTTCTTTAAAAATTCTTTGCTCTTAAGCTTGTGCTTTGATAGGATAATTCTATCACAACTCTGGGCTACCAATTGTCTGCTCATGGAGATAAATGCTGTTTTCTACTCTGACTTTGCTGCTTCTAAAGCACCTAACACATCAGCACAAACACAGAAGACCTGGGAAGGAAAAGTGACTTAGTTTCCTTTCCTTTCATCTTGGCGTAAGGAAGGAGGTAAGTTTAAGTAAATTCAGTTGGTAGTGTAATAACCATGGCTTTTAGTGCTAACAAATGACACGAAAGAGTATCTTGTATCTTTTTGCTTTACTTTGTATTACTTTTCAATGGAACAGAAGCTATTTGATGATGGCTGTTCTAGCCCAGGTGCTCAGAGTGATGACCAGAGATGCTTGAAGGTTGTGGAGAGTGAGAATAACAAAAAAGAAGGTGGTCCTCCTTGCCGGTGTGATCTCAGCGGAGGTTACGTTCTTCCCCCACACCAGAAGGGAAAGTTATTATCAGCTGACATATTGTGTAACTTGAGAGCAAGCAAGTCCTGTTGGAAAGTTGCCATTGTTTGGAAATTTCCATACGGAGGCTCTGTAGATCTTTCAGTAATAGCGTCATAGGCTCCACTGGGGTATCTGTCTCTGTGGTGATAGCAAGTCAGGCGTTCACTTTACACAGCAGCAGGTGTAAGGAACAGAAAGGAGAGGGGACAGAGTGGTTCTGAGAAGGCTATTTCAGAAAGCAGCACGCTAGTGCACAAAAGAGTGTGTCAGACTCTATCTGAAGCCACAAAGAAACTAAGTGCGTCCAATGTAAGCCTTGTTTGTTCGTTTTATTACCAAAAAAATAAATTTACTCCTTGATCACAGATTATTACCTATTTGCAGGCTGGCCTGGCAGTTCTTGGCATCCTCTCTGATCTGGCCTGGCAGCTTCTTACTCAGACAATTTTTTTTTTGTGATCCCTGCTTAAATTCTGTGTGGAAGTGGAAAATGCATCAGCAATCCTAGCTGCTTTGCAGGTACTTTCAGGATGTTGTCTGCACACTCAATCCTGAAGGACTAGAGTGGAAGAATGTGATTTTTCTTGTTCTGTATTTAATAAATCTATGGAATACCAGGATTCAGTGCCCCAGAATTTCACTCATGAGTGGTTTGTTGTTTTTGTTTTCCTGTCTGGATTGTTAGTGTTTTATCTCCTTTTAGGTGCATTTGAAGGACATGGTCTGGTAGCAACATAATTACCTGGATAGCTGTTGCTGAAGTGGCACAGCTGAATACTTTTTGCAGTTCTTGGGACAAGCAGCATCCTCCTGGAACAGCCTTGTGGTTTAGGTGGTTGATGGGGAATGAAGTCGTAGGAGTTTCAACTTTGATGAACCAGGAGCTTACTGAAAACTTAATGGCAGAATGCACTTGAGATGAAAGGCTATAAATCTAGAACTGACTGCTCCAAGAAAAAAAACAAAAAACATATAGTCACTGTAGAAAGGGGTGATGGGTCCAAAAGGAGCAGGAAACAACAGTAAAGGCAGGGAGCTGTTAGGTCAGATCACTTGTGGAGAATAAGGTATGAGCATGTGAGCGATTACTACTGGGAAGTGAAGCTGTGCACACGCAGTGTGGCCGAGGATGCCCTGTGGTAATTGGCAGTGTGCATGTAACTGCTCGTGGCAAATGCGAGGAAACTTCCCCTGTCCTGAAATAAGACTGAGCTGCTGTAGGTTCACTGCGGGGTCAGAGCAGGTATGGGGGCAGTTGTCAAAGAGCAGATGCCAGGCTATTAGTTCACACATAGTTATTCCATCATCACTTACTTGGTTCTTTTATGCTGAGAATGAAAGGATCCCTGCTGTACTGCTAGTGGCAGAAAGCTCTTAGATTAAATACAGGAAGGTACCTTGTCAAGTGCTTAAGGAGTTGCAATGATCAGGAAGCCAAAAATAAAGTTACACGATGAACTGTACTGAAATCGGTAGTGAATACTGAAAGCAGGCTGAAATATTGTTGGAGAGGGTCAAGTGCACAAGGGATTTTGTTTAGCAAGGATAAGTAAGTCTACAGAGAAAGTTCCTGTTAATATATTAGAATTAAGGTGGAAAAATGTGAAGAGATCAGTTACAGAGTAACCTGAAAATAAGAACTACTGAAATAGTCTATTTCTTATTTTCTTTGATCTTACTGCAAGAAGAAAAGATAATTTGTTTTCAGATGCCTACTGACAGCAGTTTTCATGAGAAGGTGGGGATGTTTGTTCTGCAGGATGGAAAAGGGGAAGAACGGGGAATGTTCACGTAAATGCATGTGTTCAAGTTCCCCAGGCATGATCACATAGAGTGGAGTAGTTCAGTTGGAAGGGACCTGCAAAGACCATCTAGTCCAACTGCCTGACTCCTTCAGGGCTAACCAAAAGTTAGAGCATGCTACTGAAGGCATTATCCAAATGCCTCTTGATTGCTGACAGGCATGGGGCATCAGCCACATTTGTAGGAAGCCTGTTCCAGTGTTTGATCACCCTCACGGGAAAGCAATTTTTCCTAATGTACTGAATGTACTAAAGAACATTGTGAGGATGAGCCAAAGTGGTTTCTGTCTCGTGGGTGATATTTTCAGGAACGTTTGGAGGCCAGGGTACTTGCAGAGGACTGGAAAAGGACAGATACTGTACTTGTCTCCCAAAAGGAGACAGAGCTCTGGAATTACTGACCAGGCAGCTCACCTTCAGTGCACGGGATGAAGTTGCAGCACACTGAACTGTCAATTTTATAAATGCCTAGCTCACAGCGTGATTTGCACTGTATAAGTTTACTGGGAACAGGCTGTGCCATGTCAGCCTAATCTCGTTCTGGCTAAGCAGCAGAGTGGTTAAAGGGGAAGGAATAAATGCATCTCGAATACGGGTTTTGACACAGTCCCTCATAGTCTTGTGAGCAGATTGATGCCCTAAGCATGTGACTGCTCTTCAGCCCCAGTGAAATTTTTTCAGGAGTACCACGGAATGGAGAGTTCACTTAGGAAAATAATGTGCGTGGTGCCAAGCAGGGAGGATTACAGGCTCCTGGGGGAGTAGGGTGCAAAATGATGCCAAAGGATCAGAACCAGCCTGAAAACAAATAGCTGAAATCCAGCAACGGCAAATACAAGGCATTCCGATGAGGAAATGCAGAAAGGGAACGTGTGGGTAGGCAGCAGCAAGGCAACGAGGGAACCAGTGGTGATAGGAGAACGTTACCCACCGAGTCAGCCAGAGACACGGCAGGACAGGGCACAGCTCGATCGGGGGGCAGTCTCATCGAAGTCACTGTGTGGTGCGAGGAAGTCTGCGGCACAACCAGAGGGGAGAAGTCAGCGTGCAGTAACAAGTGTCTGCCTGGGGTTGCCGTCGAGGCAGGCAGCAGCTCAGGGAGGGTTTTCAGCACTGTGTTTATGGCTTCTTGATTCCCACTGAAATCCCACTGCAGGCGCCCAGGTCCTTGCCAGGATCTAATCCTTCATCCCACAAGGTTCCCTGGAAGGAAGCCATGGCTCAGCCCGTTGCAGCAGGGCTCTGTGCCTGTAGAGCTGCCTGTCCTGCACTGGGATGCTCCGGGTCAGAGCAGGGCGTGAGGGCTGTGGTGCTGCTGTTCTCCAAGTGCAGGAGCAGCCCCTGCTAGGCGCAGGGTCAGGTAGGCAGCAGGAGGTGTCGAGGGCTGTGGGGGCAGGAGGAAATGGCCAAGTCCCCCTGGGGGCCTCTCCTGAGGGTGCTTGGGCAGCAGGCTGGGCTGGAGCTTGACAGCTTTTAGAGCTAATGAAGCTGGGAGAAAAAAGAAAAAAGTGACAGCAAGGGGGTGGTGGGGAGAAGATTTGCAGGAGCAATGGGGCCAGCGCTGCCAGGATCTCTCCTGGGATCCCCCTGGGCTGTAGTGGCCCTCCCTGGCATGGGCTTTGTTGCCTTGGGACCTGCTGGTGGGAGCACTAAGTGCCTGCAACACAGCTCAGGTCTGCAAACACATAGCGCCCAAGGAGGACATGCTGCTGCAGTCACCATCCTTGGGGCTGTTATTAGGGTGGCCTGCAATGCCATCTTCCCAGCAGTATTTTTCTTGTGTTAACCCAGGACTGTCTGTTTGGTCCTTGCACCACGTTTCAAGGTTGCAGAGAAAAAAAACTGCCAATGGAGCAGGGCCAAGATGTGGCTACCTCATTTTGGTGGCAGCTTGTATGGGATTGCTTGCAAGGGGGAGGAACCAGCCGGTATGTGAGGAAGAACAAATGCCAGACTCAAATCCACCATTTAAAAAACAAAAAGGAAGCACCACGTGGGTGTCTGAGCAGTGCAGTGTGCTTCCTGCCCCTGAAGTTGATGGAACATAAACGGTGTTCACTTCTTTCCACAAAATAGATGCCTGCTTTGTTTGTTAACAGGCTTTCTGGATGTTGCTTTATATAGAGTTAACTGATTTGTTTTACAGTTAAATAGCAGCTGGGATGGTGTCCACTATGAAGAGTGGTTCCAGTAGATACTTCATGGTGAAGTCAGTCTTCCCAGATCAGCACGGTTTGCCAACAAATTGTAGCTGGGAAGGTGACATCGCAGGTGGGGTTGCGTTGGCGATAGGGCAAAACTGCCTTCCATGTGAATAATACAATTTATGCTGGATTTTAAAGTTACTGGACTGCCCGTTTTTCTTTACAAAAAAACAGTGGAAGTATTTCTTCTCTGTTTAGAAGATTATGAAAAATAAAAATATGCATGGAAAGGTCTTTTCAGTGCTCTGTGATGATGGATATATTTAAGTTTTTGTTCCCACATAGATAGAGTAAACCTCTCTCTTTACAAGCAGAATTAGCTCCACTTTATTCACCATTAGGTAGCCAAAAGTCACTTTGTATTACTCACAGCTGAGATCCAAGAGCATCTTCCATGAACTGAGTGAGGCATCACACAACCCTCACCCACTTTAAAGCGAATATACTATTCTGATGACTGTGTTACTACTTGTACCGTCACTTTCAGAGTTTCTTTTCATGGCTAGGTATGAGCTGTCACTGTTTGTTGTGCATTAGAAAGCTTCAGGTCCTTATTCTCTTTTTGGGATACCTGGAAATAGGTCAACTGTGCAATGATACGCAGCCACGGGGGCAGAAGCTGATATCTGCTATTATAGCTCTGGAATAATTATATGTTGGTGCTAGCAGAGCTGCCCTGTTTTGCTCAAGGCCAAGATGGAATTTCAGCTCTTTTCCTTCGTTGCATGTCATTGCTCACTGCACTGAAGGTAGAGGCAAAGTGTTGTATACTGTATTCATTAAATAGGCAGCCTGAGATAAGCGTAGGAAAATGAAGCGATAACGCAGTTCTTGCATCCGCCTTTCTGTGGAGGCTGCTGAGCAGGTGACTGGGGGAGTGTTGCTCACCTTGTTTGCCCTTGTGCTGGGGGAGTTGGTATCGAGTACGCAGGGAAGAGTGGCAGCCAGGCACAGTGACTCACCAATTCAGAACTTCTGCCTCCCTAACAAGGCAGAGCCTGTAAATCAGTGAGTAGGTTGAATTAAATCTCAAGCCTGCTGGGGGAACCGCATGGCTAACCTCTGCTCTGCTCAGTGTTATTTGTTGTATACCATCTGAGAATGGCTGTAAGGCATACGCATCGATCCTGTCTGCAAGTGACCAAGGAATTTGAACCCTGTTTAGGTTTGGCTAAACAAAAAAATTATAGTAATAGTGTCCCTAATGATAACAGCAGTGAGGTGTTAAGAAACTAAGGGCTCAAAACTATCTTCCTTATTCCATCCTAAATTCATGTGGTTTTTATATGCATTACCTTTCTTAAACATTTCCACATCTGTCTTTGAAATGGAAGTCCTGACAGAGAAGGTGAGAAGGACCTGCTAGAAAAGAGGAAAGGCAAGAAAATGATAGGAAGGAAATTATAGCCATCACATTCTTATCTGTAGTGTAGACAAGAGTCTTGCTTCTTTGGCCAGAGCTTCCTCCTTTCATGCCTCATGTCCATAATCTTGTCCTGTGTGGCTGATCTCCACTGCACTGCATTCCTGTGCATCCTGCTCTGCTGTATTGTAACAGCAGAATATTGTTGTTACTTAGGTTCAGCTGTAAATACTTTCTGCTGTAGCCTGTAGCATCAACAGTTGCTGTTAGGCATGCCAAAGGTGTCCCTGCTGTCTTGTTTTCAAAGTAATATGACAATAATATCTCATTAGAAGCCAGGCAATATTATGGAATTAGATGACTAAGGTACCTAACTAATTAGCCTTTTGCTTTTAAGCCTGGAAAATCTGGTTCTGATTTGTGTGTAAATGTTTGCTGTGTTACCTGCAGAGCACGGAGTCTGAAGCAGCAGTCACCCACGATAATTCGAGGCTGGCACGGTATTTGACAGTGTTATGGATGTGAAACCCTTTGTGTGAGGAGCAAACAGAAAGAGCTCTGTGGCCCTTCAGAGCAGCGGGTCACTGATGGAATAGGAACAGCCCACGGGTTGCACACTGGTTCATGTGGCTTGTGTGCCTGTTTGTGCACCAGGCCTCCCTGCTTACCTGCTCTGTGCAGTGTCAATAGCTCGTATTTTCTGTCTGTGTCAGTATGCCTGTCTGCAGGCTGCATCACTGCTATTTGTCCCTCTTAGCAGCGCGTCTTTCTCCTCTGTTGAGCAGGATAAGAATGGAGATGGAGCCAGGGAGCTGAAGAACATGAAGTCAGATCGCATGAAAGTGCTACAGATGAATGTGTGCAGTGACGAGGAGGTGGCTCAGGCTGTGGATTTTGTGAAGAGGACCCTGAAGGACCCAGAGGAAGGTATGTGGGGATCTTTGTTTCTCTGGGCCAGCAGCATCTTTGGTGTGCTCATGGAATCCTTCTGATGGAGCAGGCCCTACTCTGGCCAGGTTTTTCCTGCTCTGCACTGCCCAAACCCAATTAGCAAGCCTGGAGGCCTGCACGTGTGTGACTGACAGGCCGGGCTGTGCTCAGGCTGCTGAGAATTCCCCTGTGGCCAGCACTTCAGGGGCAGGGCAAGAGACCAAGACTGGCTTAGAGGGTAAGGCTTTAACCCCACATCCCATAAAAAGTGATGTGTGGCAGCACGTCCCCAACAGCCTGCCTCTTTCTCCTTGAGTGTCCGTGAAAGCATAGGGTGGCCAGACCCCGATTCCCTTCTGATGCTGCTGTTGGAGCCTGGCTCACACAGACATTTCTGTAGTGACCCTGCTAGAGGGGATGCAACAGGCCCTGGCTGCTTACTGCTGTCCCCTCTGCGGTGCTGGCACAACCTGCTTGTGTCATTGAGTGCTGAGCTGGTCTGTAAGACTGACCTGCCCCCAAACCTGGACTGGTCTTTAGCCAGGCCAATCCACGCTTTATTTGCCATGCAACACCCCAGTGGTGATAGGACATATAATCCAGGATGGGCTCAGCACAGACCACCTTATTTCACCTGCCACCTTGGGCGTGAGTCCAGCTCAGGGGCCCTAGGTGCATGTGGAAGAAGATGATAATCCCTGGAAGGAAGCAGGCTTGCTTCCTTCTGGCAAACCTGTGTGGGGCTGGAAAAGCAGCAGGGTGCTTGTGGTAGGAGCAGCCCATGGGAGCCCAGGCAGCTCAAGATGCTGCTGGTGCCAAGGTGCTCGATGTCTACCCTTGCACTGGTCTTGCTTGGTGCCTGGGGAAGGATGGATGGCCACACCACTGCTGCAGCACAGCTCGGCTCGTGGACTGAGCTTCAGACAGCTCCTCCTGTGAGTGGTTTGGCCATGGGATGTGAGCTTACAGCCAGAGCCTGGTGCAACACCTCTCCTCTTCCCATGTTCTGAGGTTGTGAGGCTTTCTTGCCCTGCTGTGGTTTCTCTGCAGTCTGTGCAAGTTACGAGCTGGGCAGCAGCTGAAGTTTCATATCAGTGGCTACAGGACTTGTGGGTTGTATGGCCGGAGGGTGATCGCTCCTCTTGAGGCATGGGTGAGGCTGCCATGGGCATGTCTTTGTTCATACAAACATACAAAGCTAGTAAATAACAGTAGCTCTAATATCCTTGCAAATTGTGCGAGCACACCCTTCCTCCTGGAACAAGCATGTGAAATGTAACTGAGTGACGTACGAGCTCTGTTCCCACACATGCTCTCTCTGCATGATTTTTCTTCCTACGCGACCATCCAGCCCTCGCTGCACATTTCACAGCTCCTCAAGCTTTTCCTGAAGAACCCAGCAACAGCTGTGGTGGCTCAGAGCCATTTCCCGCTGAGTGGGGACTTGTAAGGGGGCAGCTCTGTTGCTTCTCCAAACGCAGTAGTGTTTGAAAAAACCTGGTGTGTAGCTGTAACAGTGAAGTCTTGCGTCCTTGATCAGCGAGTTGGACTGGTTCCTCCTGCTCTTGAGAGCCTTACCCTGGCATTGCTTGCTGCAGCACAGTGTGCAGAGCAGTAAAGGCTTCTTTTTAGGAGCCTCAGCGTGACCGAGGTTTGGGGCTTGACAACAAATAGTGCTCAGTCAAGTCTGCATTGAGACCGAGGTGCCTTGCACACCAAGTGCGGCCCCAGAGGAGGGAGCGCAGGACAGTTCTGTTACTTTTCTACCTCTTCCCTGTGCTATGTACATGAGGCTAAAGTCATTTTGATGGGAGTGCCGCTGTTTGTTTTCGCAATCCTATGTAGTTCCCACTGTATTGTTGACATTAAAGAACTCATGGTGATAAGGCCCTGCTCTGTAAACATACCACTGTCCGGCCAACAGCCTCGTGACCAGGTAACTATCAGTGTTTGGGTCTGTACGTAGCATAACCTGAGTGCTGGGCAGACAAATTCCAAGCACGAAGTATTGTAAGTAGCTTTTTTGTGAAAGTCCCTGCATCTAGCCACATAACACAAGAAATGGGAAATGGTTACAGAGTAGTTTAGAACCAGGAATACACTGCAGATGTCAGTCTGGGACTGCCAATTTAAGTCTTTTGTGGTCCTTGGTAAATCCCTGCCAAACTTGATGTGCATAGCTTCTTGTTACTCGCGAAATTACACTATCAAATGCTCTGTTACCATGGAGGTCCTGCTGGAGATTAGAGACTGCTTTGCAGCAACGCAGGGGACCCAATTCAGGCTGAGATGCTGTGCTGGATGCCAAATGAGCATGAATTTCTGAGTGATCTTGGCCCATTAAAGCTGACAGCTTCGATAAGTGCACTGGTGACAGGCAGGGAATCTTGGACAAAGCAGGAATAAAACTACCTGACTGCATTTAGAAACTTGGATTAATGAAACAGAGGTAAGGATAAGGTAAGGAGCAAGATGTTTTCTTGGCTTTCGCTGCAGGCTACCACAGAGCTGTTACCTGAAACAGCCTCTGGGGTTGTTCTGGAGGAGGATAGAGGTGCAGGCCAGCGAGCTGACCTAGGGGAGCAGCGTTTGCCAGTGTCTGCTAGAAACAGAAATGCAGGGCAGGAGGGGTGCTGGGACACCAACCTGACGGTTGGGAAATGCTGGAGTGATGGCAGCTGTGACGGGTGAGTAGGTGAATCTATTCTGGGACAGATGACAAGGGAATGGTTAATGCATTGTTATCACTAGGTAGGACATGACCTCCTCTGTACACAGCTGGCCAAAAGCCTGCAGGGAAAACGAACTCGGCAGGGAGCAGGGCAGGGAGTCTTACTGGGGCCATCATGTGAGTAGACAGCCAGTCTAAGAAGGGCAAGCTGGGCTTCTTAAATGCTCCCGGAGGACAAATTCCATTGGAGTTTATTGGGCAGAGCTGGGATATTACAATTTACTTGCAGGACTGTATTCAGTACAATATAAGGTGACTATCTCACCATGAATAAATACAAGCTGGAAGTTATTAAAAGACTTGGTTACATCAGAGCACAGGAGATACAGAGCAGACACTGGGCAAACAGCCCAAAATTTTTTGGAGAGCTTGATAAGCTTATCATCAGGGTGGCATGACATGGGTGACTTTTGATAGCAGTGTCTGAGCTCCCTGGTCACGAAAACTTCTTCCTAGCTCTGCATTTGTTCTTAGTGGTAAGACAAGGGTTGGGGAGTAGAAAGGGGCCCCAGTTCCCGCTGGCTACTTACACGGTGAAAAATAAGGATGTGTAGCAGGACTTCTAATGAGGAACAACTCCGAACAACTCTGTTATCTTGTTCCAACTCTTCTGTTTGTTCCTACTGCAGTTTATGGCTGCAGAGACATGTGCTACAACAAATTCACAGTGTGGACTCAGTCCTGCAGATGTTTGCCGTAGGTACTCCTGCAGTAATTGCTCGAAGGGTCAGATACTGCATGCACAATAAAAGTTTGTAAATGCTAGTATTTCTAAGAGTTGGTTGTAAGTTTTCCATGTCCTGGTATAGTTAGGTTTGAGGGAGTCCAAATATCTGGACGAAATTACAGGAGCTGGTAACTGGGCCACAAACCTGAAGATCAACACTGTGCACTTCCCAAAACAGCGAGTCACATCCCAGAGATATGAGGTAGATTTAGATTTTAAGATACTTGCTTTCCTTCTGTTTTTGTTGGTTTGTTTTTTAGTTGAGGGAGAGTCCAGCCCCTCCAGATTGCAAGAGGACATGATCAAGTCACTGAGTGAAGACAAACTCAGAACCTACGGGGGGCATAAAAGAGGGTCAGGGAGATCCAGCTGTGCAGACCAAGTACAGCCTCTGCCCTTAGAGGGAGACATTCAGGAAAGCTGTGCTTATGCCCTCCCCCCACCATCCCAGGGACTCCAAACAAGCCCTGCTGGCTTCACATTTGGTATTTTTAGAGTGTATTTTTTCTCCTTGCTGGGTTTTCCTGTACAATTTATTTTCTACAAAAGCTCACGCTTCTTTGTCGAGGAGTTGGGTTACTCTGAACAAAGAGGGCTGCTTTTCTCTGACACTCTTCCTTGTTCCGCTCCTTAACCATGCGCTTGTCGGCAGGTCTGTGGGGCCTGGTGAACAATGCTGGTGTCTCGACCTTTGGAGAGGTGGAGTTTGCAAGTTTGGACAACTACAAGGAGGTGGCAGAGATCAACCTGTGGGGTACCGTGAGGGTGACGAAGGCTTTCCTGCCTCTCATTCGCAGAGCTAAAGGTACGTGCGGTGTGGCTAGGCTCAGAGAGCTTCAGCAGCACAGCAAAGAACTGTAGCTAAAAGGGATGAATCAGACTCTGCTTTGAGGAATGCCCGTGCAGTCCAAGGAGGCTGTCTGAGACACTCAGGCAGAACAGACAGCAATGTTTGACGTGTTGTGCAAGGATTCAGTGACACCCGCCACTGCTGGGGGTCAGTCTAGGCACTACAAAGGTGTGATCTTAAACATCCCAGGATACTAAAGATCTTCAGGCAGTGCTGGCAGATAGGACACAGGACCCTGGGCCACCTTTAGAAAAAGTGACTGGGACCAGACAAAATACTTCTGGCCTCCAAAGTCACACCAAGTGTTATGTTTGGACAGCTGAATCCCTTCGTTACTCAGTTTGCAGCTGATTGCAGAGTGGTGGAGTCAAGAAGAGCCATCTTAGATAACTTACAAGAAGATGGTTACCATCAAAACTCTTTGTTTTAGGGGGGAAAAAATAGCTACATATGAGCAAAACTCTGAAGAGCTTCTTTATTTAGCACGTGTGGGAGAATGCTGGCACAGCTGTGCGCTCTGTGAGGACAGAAAGGGGTTACACGGAGCACATTGCTCAGGTACCATTTTTAGAAAGTAAGCACCCACTGAAGAAGCCCATCTCGCTACAAAAGGCGTTTACCCATCAGGTCAATAGGTGGCTTGCACAGTCCCTCCGAACTGCACTCAGGTCTGGAATGAGAGAGCAGAGCCACCCACTTGTTTCTCAGCTAAAATTTCAAGCTGCAGAAGGGCGTCGTACTCCACGGCTGTGCAAATCCTCTCCGCAAAAATAGCTGCTGAGATTTCAAGGGCCTGTTTGTGAGTGCAGCTGAAACCATAATGAGACACAGCTTGTCCTGGGGAAGGACAGAGCTGCCCACTACTGCTCTCACTGTCTCTGGGCAGTGCGTGATTGAACACAAGCTGCCAGAGCTCTGCATCAGGCTGCCATGGGCTACAGGTAGGAGTTAGGAAAAGAGCTCTTTGCTACCCCATAGCAGCATGTCAGGTGCTCCTCTCTGTTCATCCCAGGCATGTTACACTCCAGGCAGCCCTGGGCAGCCAGCTGGGTGAGCAGGCTGCACTGCTCGTGCTGCGGGTTCAGAGAAACCTCCCCTGGTTCTGATGATGCACGCTGCTGTAAGAGCACCCAGCTGGTAGCCTCAGAAGATATGGGTACTGCCTTACTTGGAAAGTAGAAGGAGAGAGATGTCTTGCATGCTTTGGAAATCTTTTGTAATGTGGAGGAAGGCACGTGTACTGCCCACGGAGGGGGTCAGCCTTTCCTGATTCAGGGGAGAGATGCTTCTTGACAGGGAGTTTGGATCCCCCTTCAAGATACAGATTTTACAAATCGGTGTCATCCAACATAGCACCTGTTTAGTGGGGTGTTCTGACTGCCTCTTCTGCAGCTCCTCTTGACCTCCTAGCTGGGAACAGCCAGCCCATCACCTCTCCTTACTCTTTCCCCCCCAGGCCGTGTGGTGAATATCACCAGCATGTTAGGACGGATGGCGAGCCCATCCCGCTCCTGCTATTGCGTTTCCAAGTACGGGGTGGCAGCCTTCTCTGACTGCCTGCGGCAGGAGATGTACCGCTGGGGTGTCAGGGTCATCCTCATCGAGCCCAGCAACTTCGTGGCCGCGACCGGCATCCTGACCGAGGACGGCATCGACAGGCAGGCCGAGGCGCTGTGGAGCGGAGCCGGCGACACGGTGCGGGAGGACTACGGGCGCGAGTACTTCGCTCGCCACGTGGCCACGATGAAGTCCTTTGTTAGCAGCGGCCTGAAGGACATGTCTCTGGTGCTGAATGACATCAGCGATGCGCTCACCTCCACGCGTCCGAACAACCGCTACAACCCCATGGAGACCTGCTGGTGGGTGAGGCTGCAGGTCATGACTCACCTGCCCACTGCCCTCGCTGACTGGCTTTACGTGCCCGGAGCCACGCTGTGAAGGGCTCTGCTTCAAGCATCCTTCCAGTGCTTGTATGTATGCACGGCTTAGAGCTCACTTAGGCCTGTCCTGCACCTGCTGCTGATGCCTCTCCCCTGTAGGTGCCTGTGCTTTCGCTTTGGGTTATGGCTTCAGTTTGTGTGTTGTGGGATGCTGAGAGAAGCATGGCTTTTCTGTCTTATCCCTAATTTTGGTCGTTGTGTTTCCTGTTGCCCTGATTAAAGTTGAAAGATATTTTCCTTTTAACCGTGGAGAAGGCAGAGGAAGGTTAACATAATGGGTCAAATATGTGGCTGGTGTAACTAGGTCAGCAGAGTTCCCTTAGTGATAAATTTGGCTCTTTAATGGGCTCTTGCTTTTCCTTACAAGGACGGGCTGGTAACAGCAGAGCAAAGCTGTTGCTATGAGATGTCTCAAAGGGAAAAATCTAAAATGGGAAACAAAAGCTGAGTTTTCCATTTGATTCAAAATGGGTCAGTCACAGCCTTGCTTTGTTTTGATGGTACTGGTAGGAAGCTCTGCTACTCCATGACTGCCTGCTCTTTCCTTGAAGACAACACCAGTGCCTCTAAACAGCCTCATTACCAACTGCAGGGCAGGGTTCATCCCTCCCAGCACTGCGGCCAGGGGCTGCCAGAGCCAGTGACTGCAGACAGACGGGGCTGGGCAAAGCCCTGCTAACAATGGGCGAGGTCTGAGCCATCCCTCAGGATGCTGGGCCTGCAGCCTCTCTTCCCCCACTGCAGACGAGGTTTGTGGGACAGGCTTGAATCTGGTGTAGCAAACAGATTTGCCACCTCTAACTGCTCCATCAGGTACTGTGCAGTCAGAGCGGCCTGACTACGAGCTCTGGAAGGGTGCTTCAGGTAACACATTTCCTTTACTTAATATCGCACAAGGAAATTTCCATTTCACATGTGATTGTCTCCTCAGCACTCCTGATAACTGGTAGGAGCTACTTTTGCACAGTGTCCCCAGGGGTCTCTCCTGTTGGCCATATCCAGGACTTTGAGGCATTTTTCCAGGTGCCAGGGCTGCTGGGCTTCACAGCACGCTCCTTTCTGAGCAGTGACCTCCAGCAAAGCTGCTAGTGGGAATCTGCTCTCACACTCTACATGCCAGTTTCCCATTCAGCTGCTAAACTTGGTTCTGTTTTTAACTATGTGTGCTTAAGTGACTATGAAAAGAGCTTGCCATTTGTTCTTCCCTCATCTGTCTCAGCTAGCTGTGACTCGGAAGCTGTGCCATAAACTTTTTATATGCCAGTGTCTGTGACTGCTTGGAGTCTGGGTGCAGCTGTGAGTGCTGTGATGCCTGAGGAGGAAAGCAGGCTTCCCCTGGAGATGCTGTGGAGGTAGCTTGTATTACAAGTAACTACAGAAAGTGCCAGCCATGCAGTTCTTCATTCTAGATCACCAGCACGTGGAGGTTGTCTGGTTTCCAGGGCCAAGAGCAATCCCACTGAGCCTCAGCTTGTTTAAACAGTGTTGAAATCACTTCTACCCCAGCACTGTGAAATGTGAGTAATGATAAGGAGCAATGATTTGCACAGAGAGAAAAATAAACTGTGAGATTTGTGAAGCACATGTCCATGGTTCTGGTGCTCATTTCTATGTTGTCTTTTTCCCCCTCTGAATCTGAGACTGGGTGTTAATTGGGCTCAGTGATTAAGGAGATGGCCATGGTTCTGCGGGTGTTTGGGCTGTTAGTGAGTGCAGGTAGTCTTCACTGAAGAAGGGGGATGATATTGCCTGTTTTTAGGATGTAAAAGGAGAAGGCAAAGAGCGAGTTGCTCAGGTTTATATGGAGGAAAGGGCAAAGGGATGTTCAAGGTGATGGCTTCAGTTGCCAGTACAGCTCTTCTCTGCAAGGTGCTTTTGTTCTGGGGCAGTGACAAGCACAGGATTCTTCCTCCACAGGCTCCTCGTCTGTGCTGCTGGTGGGAATGGGTAGAAGAAGAAAGACTTACCGAAAAGTTTCCCCAGAAAAGCCCTGTTTGGGGGCTCTGCTTGGGAGAGCTCATTCACAGTGCCTGTCCATGCCCAGTCTTTGTGATGTTTAACGAGTCTCCAAGTTGTCCCTCCTCTGCCTAGGTCTCGGCTGTGCAGGTAGGGGATGCTGCATCCAACTGTGTCTGTCTGTGTCCGTGTAAGTGCACTGCCTGAGCTGCATGTGGCTTTTTGAGAACAACAGCGCATTTGCAGTCTCACAGCTCCCATGTTTCACTAGCAAAAGACAGCCAGAGAGAGGCCTCTGCAAATGCACACATTATCAGTATTTGTGTTGGATGTGGTTTCCTCAAATGACACCGTTGGGAGAGCGGTGATACGCGTTATTCGTTGCCTCAGCATTCTGCATGTAATTAATCCAAGTGCTACAGCTGCCTGGTAATAAGGATTAGCTCTTCTTACAGACAGAACGGAGACTTGCGAGCCAAGAACTGTCCAAGGCCGTGCAAGGACCTCGTGCCAGAGCCACGGCTGCGATTTCACAGCATGTGAGCACCAGCCCCTTCCTCTGCCCCTCTGAGAAGAGCTCAGGTGAGCTGCCAGCACCCGGTCTGACTTCTGCCTTGGTGGGAGCTTCGAGTGGATGTCAGGGTGAAAGAAACAGAGCGCAGGCATGGGAAGAGCGAGTGTCGAATGTTTCTGTACAGTGCAGGTGGGCACGTGAGCTCTGAGCCAGCAGAGAAAGCCAAGATGACCGAGCAGGTCCCTTCCCATCCTGAACTTCCTGCGGCTGCTCAGTGTCCACTGAAAACTTGTTTGTGAAATCTGTTCCCTGAGGCAGCTAAAGCCTTGTTTTGTGCTGTGGGGTTGCATCTGTGCAGACGTTGAGGGCAGATTGTTGTCTTGCTGATGAATAACAGAGGGAAGAAAATTCCATTTGAGAGTGACCTCCAAAGCTAGAGGACAGGGGAGTCAGACGAAAGCTCAGTGGAAATCCTGTGGAAGTCCTTGCTCGTTGCTGATGTGGTGTCCTGTGAGGAGTTAGGCTGCCGAAGGTGCCTGTGGCTTTCCTTTCGGGGCAAGCTGCTCAGACCCTGGCACTTGTTCCTTTTTCTGCACGTTCCTTATGATGCTTTGGAAGATGGCCAAAGTACAGTTCCTTGATACATCCTTCAGCTTTTGCAAAATGTTTCTGTTTTCCTGTTCAGATCAGGATGGTTCTCTGTGATAACTCTGGGAGCCAAGAAGTCGTTCTCTGTGTGGCATGTTTGCTCTGGTCTAGCTTAACAGCAAGGGGACTCCTGGGGCCTCCCAACTGAGCACTGTGAACCTGTCTGGGTACTCCAAATAGCTCCAGATTCTCTTTGTATCGACCACAAAACAAGTCCCAAAACAGTGACAAGTCCCAGTGCGTGTCCCTGACGTCATGGCACCTGTGGCTCTTGGCTGACACCCAACTTGAAACCTCCACTAGCAGCAAAGGGAGAGAGGGAGTTTAGAAGAAAAAGTTTATTGCAGGTGGAATAAATAAAGATCATCTACAAAAGTCAAGAGGAAGCAGGAGGCTCTTCTAAGCTGCAAAAGCTGCAGAGGAAGTGGTTCGTCTCAGGCAGGGGCACGAAGTTGCTATGGAGATACCCCAATGATAGTCGTCTATGTCTTTACCTGTATGCTGAGCTGCACAGCCAGTGAGGCTGTATGCTTCTTCCTCTGGGCTCCAGGAGTCTTTACCACTGCTGCAGGTGGGTGACATCCTAGGTTTGCTGTTCTCATATGGCTGAGAGAGCTCAAATGGTTGCAGAATCAGTCAGGAGGTGGATTATATCAAAAGTGAACTGTGTTGTATTGGAATTACACCCTGCAGTCTGCTTGGCTGAGGGAAAAACAGCATTTGGAGAAGAAATTCATTTGGTCTGACAAGGAGATGAGGCTCAGGATTTCAGGTGCAGAAGCTGGAAATGCACGTGCCATCCTACCCAGCAATTCTGCTAGCTGGAGCCATGGGTTTAAACCACCATGCAGAAATTCAGTTGGATGTTGCCCTTGAAAAGAAATCAAAGAAAAACAGCGTTATCAGCTGGAGGGAAAAAAAATAAATAAATAATAATAATAATAATATGTCAAATGAAGATTAGAAAGCTGTACTGAAAACCTCTACAACAGGCACCACGTGTGAGTAAGGCTGCTGAATCCCTGTGCTGATCGATGCTGGCTCAGCAGCACCCAGCTCTGCAACAGTGCCACCCAGTGCACCTGAAGTGGGAGACTTGCTTAGCATTTTGCAAACTGAAGACCCAGGAAACACGGAATGGTTTTATCTTCCTGGCCTGGAGGCTGCCCCAAACACAGAGATGCTGTGTAAACAGCAACGCAACGGCAACAGGAGCACCTGCCTTTCTGGCTGGGGTTTCCAAAGGTGAGTTTTCAGCTTCTTGTGTGAGCACAGTGCTGAGAAATGTCTTAGAAACAAACCCAAACTGATACCAGCAAGTTTCTCAGCTGGCAACTTGAGCAATGGGGATGGGAGAGATGCTACAAATAGCATGAGAATTTGTAACAGAGCCAGCTCCACCTCCAGGGCCTGGCCTGGAGCCAGCCAGAGTTAATTCATTCCCAGTGGAGCTGGGAGCCTGAGGGTACTACTGATACAGCCCTGTTGTGTTCTCCCATAGCACTTGTTCAGGGAGGTAGCAGAGCTGAGGCTTCACCTAAAAATAATGGTGTGAAATAGTAGTTTTGCTTACCAAGAGAAGCTTACCAGCAGCTTACCAAGAGGCACAAAGCTGGGTGATCTTCAGCGTGCAGTGCCTTCTCGTGCAGCATCTCTATAGCAAAAAGCAGCTCATCACATCACTTCAGGATGACTGCACCACCAAGCTGTGCTGTGAGCACAGCCCCAGCTCCTGGCACGTGTGGTGTGGGCTGGCCAACAGCAGCGCCTCGCTGGGGCTGGGGCAGCTCCGGGCACGGGGCTTGGCCAAGCCTGCAATCTTTGTGGTTATCGTGTCCATTATATAGCGAACACACAGCAATTCACTTCCCTCGGGTGGTTTAATGCCTCTCTCTGAGGGCGGTTTGCCTCCCAGCCCTTACTGCAAGCAGAGCAGTAACAGAGCAGCCCCTGCCCACCCCACTACCTGTGGATTTGCAGTACTGCTTTCCAGCCACAAAACTGTCCACCACCAAAACCAGGTGCTTTGGCCCCTTGTCTGTAAGGTTTTTGCCATGCAGGAGCTGGCAGGTGATGTGCAGGGCACTGCAGTTTCCCTGTCCTTGCCACCACGCAGCTGGAGCAGCTCTGGTGACTGAAATTGAAGAAAATCTCTGCTACGATTGTAGAGCAAGCATTTGGGGAAGTCATCAGGTAAGAGCTGGATTGTTTTAGTGCTGTAATGTGAAGACTTCTGTAGTGCTGTAACAAAGACTTCTGGCTAGGACTGAGCTCCAGCAACTCTGCTCCTGGCACTGCCGCGGGCTTGCCAAGCTCTGAACAGCTCGCTCGGCCTGTGCTGAGCTCCCTCACCTCCTGCACCACCTCTGCCACTATCCTGGAAGTGTGCTGGAAAGTGGAAAACCAACAAGTATGTGCTGCACTGCCTAGCTGTTGGTTGACTCGTTTTGTTGTTGGGACCAACATCAGAATAGGTGTTCGCTCTCCCCATTTCCATAGGCTGAATTACTTTGGGTGGTAGAATAAAAAATATGGCAGCAGTCTCCTGCATGAAGGCTGCTGCAAGGGACTTATAAAGTCCTCTCAATGTTTATAGCCTGGGGCAGGAAGGTGCCAGGCTGAGGGCAGACATTAGCACTCCTGAGCTGCTTTTAACCTGGCCCTGAGGTTAACCATTGCCCCACGGGCATGTGCCCACTGACCCTGAACAGCAGCCTGGGGAAAGCTCCGCATCGTCTTCTGCTGCCTAAGTGCCGCCAGAGCAATCACGCTGCCTCCTGGGGTCAGGTGCTGCACGAGAACTCATTTTCCTGGTGAGACTTTAACCAGTCTCCATGGCAATCAGTCAGCAGGCTGCCAGCACCCTGTGTCCTTGCCTCTCCTTCCTGCGTGCTGGCTGCCCAGGGGTGCTCAGGCGGTGGGTGCGCAGCACAGCACCTTCCCTGTGCGTGTCTGGGCCCTCTTTTCTCTCCTCTGGTGCTTTTCCAGCCCCTGAGCCACACACGAGCTGCCTGCTTCCTTCAGGAGCAGGAGCCCCCAGCAGGAGGCGGGCAGGGAGGTGGCTGCAAGCACAGGCACTCAGGGGCTTGAAACCAGTCCCAGGTTGTTCACCCCATCCCTGGGAAGTTCCTGTGATGCTCCGGTACCTCTGTCCTGGTTTGGGAAGTTTTTGCTCTGTTCCATGGATAACAACTATTTTGTAAGAATAATCATGGCAGGGACTGAGATTATGACATGTGTTTTTGGAAAAATTCAAAGTAATTGGATAAAGCATCCATTGCCTCACTCCACGTCTGTTTGTACTGAAATACAGGCCTGGCTCGTGTCCCTGGGGGTGAAGCACAGATAAAAACTGCTTTAAGGCTGTATGAATTATTCCTAAATTCTCCTAACTCGTTTGATTGAAACTTGCCATGAAAGGTCTCTCTGTGCCATTTCAAAGTGTAGCTATGTATTGAAACACAGTCAGAGCACTGACCACTGAATTTATGTTACTTATTTTCAGTATAACGTAAACTCCAGCCTAGCAAACACTTAGTCCTGTGTTTCACTGTAAGGCATGTGTGCCCTGGCTTGGTGGCCTCAGTGCAGGTATTCATGGGCAAAGCCACTGCCTAGGCTGCTGTCTCTCTGATCTGCAGCATGTGCTGAAAGATGTGACTCGGTCTCTCTGAAAAGGGGTTCTTAAAATCCTCTACCCACGTTCTGTGAACCTATAGCATGAGGAACACGTGGGTTGTATATAGGTTACAGCAGCTATAATTGTGTAACTGCGTTAATGCATTCCGGAGCTAAGGTGCTGCAACATGTGCTTGCTGCAGGAAGTAGTGCCAGGGCTCAGCCAGCCGTGCTTGGGCACCTCCTGCACAGCCCCAGCAGTGCTGTGAGCAGATCTTTGTGCCTCCCTAGGGAGGACAGAAGGTCCCCCTGCAGGAGAAGCTCTCTAAGTGTGCTTAATGACATTTTTTAAAGCATTTGGAAAGTGTTTCGGTATGCTGGGGACCTCTTAAGGACTGCAAAAAAAACATTATGAACACAGAGGAATAAAAGCTCCAGGGGCAGGATGGAGCACGGGAGGCAAGCCCTGGGCTGCCTGGCTCAGGGTGCCCCAGGGTGGCAGCCCCAGGGTGGCAGCACCCTGTGCTGAGCTGCAGCACTCCCAGCACGGCTGTGGGGCCGGTGTCACTGCCCTGTGCTGCAGAGGTGCTACTCTGCCCCCTTCTGCTGCGCCTTGCTGCTGGCTCTTCTCTGCGAGAGCAAAGCCAAGCTGAACGCATGGCATGCCTAGTAGTGTAAGAGGTGATAATAATAATAAAAAAGGGACCTTATTTATCACTGTGCAGTTGACCTTAGTGCAGGGCACTTTGGGGACATGCTGCAAAGCTGGGACCAAGCACTGTCTGAGCTCTGGTTTTTAGGGTGAGCACATCCCCGGGGTGATGTGCTGCTGGACCAGTCTTACTGCCGATCCAGCTCTGGCTCTGCGATGTAGTCCTGTCTACAGAGACTTGTCCCACTCTGCTTTTACCTCTCTGAGCTTATTTTCATTTGCTCTATTTCATTTTTCTCTGCTTTCAGGCAGGTGGGAACCACACTGGCTTCTCTCCCCAGCGACTTTTCTAACCAAACCTCCGCGGTACAGACCAGGCAGGGGAGCCTTCCTCAGAGCCCTGCCACAAAGCCTGTTCTTCAAGGACTGTCCCTCAAATAATAACGTCTTGTTTAGCTTTACAACTTTTGAAGTCCCCCTCTTTAGTTTCTCGTGTTTTGAATATATAATTGGATAATTTCCAGGGTGGAGTACTGCTCACTAATTGTATGCAGGTGGATCACGACATCTTTCGTGCACTTGCTTGGACGGAGTTCCCACAGCCCCGGAGGCGAGTTCACGCTTCCAGAGCTTGTCTGCTTCGTTTGGTACCATAACTGTGCTTGGAAATCCTGCACTGTTTTGCACAAACAGATTTCAAAGCGCTTTCTGCCACTCCTAGAAACAGAAGAAGATTCCCACCTGCCCTCCCTTCCTCTGCCTTTTCCCCCGCGGGCTCATTTTTGTCTCTCTACACGTTTCAGCCTGTTTGGCCTTCCCAAAGCCACGTTTCCTTCAGAGCAGGCAGAAAAACAACCACAACGAACTTGCAGGAGGGAAGACAGAGAAAGGGAGGGAAGGCACCTTCTGTCTGGGGAAGAGCTGTCCCCTCAGTATGGTCTCAGACCTGGGATATCCCTCCCTGACACCACAGGTCCCGCAGCGAGGCCCCAGCAGTGGGCACGGGATGCAGGGCCCTGAGGCCAGGCTGTCCCAGCTCTGCAGCCCCTACACGGCCGGGATGCTCAGGCCCCACTGGGAGATGAAGGCTCCTATGGGGCCAGCCCTGGGCGAGCAGCTCCCCGAGCAGGAGCTGGTGGCCTCCCATGGGGAGAGGTTGGGCCCGGAGCCCCAGGGCCCCACAGGGCCTCCACCAGAGGCTCTGCTGGCTGCTGTGAGCTTGAGCAGTCTCCAGGCTGTCCTGATCGGATCCCATCACAGGGCTGAGGTGCTGGTGTTGTCGAAAACCCCATGTCTGTCCCACCAGCCTGCTGTGACAGCAACCCAGGAGCTGCCTGCCACGAGCCTGGCCCTGTCCAACCCCACGTCCACCACGGCCTCTGCTCCCGGAGAAGTGCTTCCACATGCAGCTTACGGCCAACACTGTGATATATACATGTACACCGTGGTGCTCTCCAGGTACGTGGGGCAGGTGGATGGAGGAGATGGCATTTTGAAGGAGGAGACACCTCCCTGCCAGGGCTGCTGCCTCAGGGTCACAGGGCAAGAAGTTCAGGTGCCCTGGTGGGGTGCTGGGGGACACGGTGTGATGAGACTGCCTGTCCCTCGGGGTCAGGTCCCCTGGCCCAGCCAGGTAAAGCGTCTCCATCACATAGGTGCCAGGAGATGGTTTCAGGGTGGTGTTGGGTGCATGATGGGACAACCTCAGCTCCACATGAAGCGGGGTCACCTGCAGACAGAGCTTCAGGGAGCTTCGTGGAGTCTCCTACCTGGCCCTCAGCTGGCTGGGTTTTGTCTGCAGTTCTGGCTTACAGCAGCAAGGCTTTCCCTTGCTGCACCCGCTGCTGCCTCCCCATGTGCCCACGCACCCCACACACACCTCGCCCCCCGAGCCTGCCCCACTCTGCCCTCCCCTCTGCTGCTACCCTGCAGCTGCTTCATCACCCAGAAATGTGGGGGAGGCTTCATTCCTGCGCAAAGCGCTCGGAGCGTTTCTCCTGCTCCCCCCTTGCCTGGTTTCCCCCGGCTTCTCCTTCCTGTCCTCCCACCCCTGCTCCAGCTTCCTGCCCTTTGATGTGCCTCCGCTCCTTTGCTCCCGGGCAGGAGCCGCCTGCCAGGTGGAGGTGAGCGCTCTCCACCCCACAATTAGCTGTGATCGAAGGTTCAGCTTTTCCCTGACCCCTTGCTCCATGTGGCCAGGCTCACAGCACCACCATGGCCAGCAGAGCCCAGCAGTGTGCCCCTCGAGATGGTGGGACCAGCCCCAGGCAGGTCCCAGCAGCCAGGGCTCATCTACCTCGGCTCTGCTTCAAGGCACCCAGGGCTGCCCTGGCCTGACCCTATACAGATGGCTTTTGGGGTGGCATTGGCTCTTGGGGTGTCGTTTGGGCAGCTAGGGGCTCCTGAACGTGTGTGCGTATGTGTGAGGAGGGCACATGGTGCATGTGAGAGCACACATGGAGTGAAAGTCTCAGCAGAGATAAGATTTTTGGAAATGTAATTGAAGGCACGGAGCATCCTGCCTGTTACTCAACTCTCCTTGCATAACCCCCGGGACCGGCAGCGTTCACAGCTGACTGCGCCGCTGTCAGAATCATTTGGTGGGCACTTGTTGGAAAAACCGTCAGGTCAGCACAGAGCTAATTGCACAGGCATCTTCCACTCATAATGAGATTTAAAAATCTAGAAAAATACCTGCCAAATACTTTGCGGCTCCCTGGATGAGCCTGCGATGCCTCTCAGTGCTTAATCCTCCCCGTGTACCGGGGCTGACTGGGATGGGGACGGTTCGGAGCCTGCCTCGAACGAGCACCGCACACACTGCTGGCCACGTGCCATTGCCCATGTCACCTAACAGACTCGTGCTGTGACAGTCCTCCTGGCGTGGTGGCCTGGCAGGTGTGGAGGAGGCAGCGTTCCCCCTCCGGGCAGGAGTTTCACCCTGGTGCTGGTCCCCCTGCTGCATCCCCCGGGATGGTGGCCGTGTCCCTGAGCACGCTGCCACTGCCCCAAGCATCTGCAGGGGTTCAGAGCCCCCAGCCAGGCATGGGGCAGGGGTCACACATCGCCCCGGGGAGCACGGCGGTGGCTGCTCCTGGGCCAGAGGGAGCAGGGCAGGGGCTGCAGCTGCCTTTTGAGGGCTGTGACCCTTCTCTTTCCCTGCCATCTACACCCAGGGCCGCGGTGAGGGCTGCTCCTGGGCACTGTGGGCGGCTGGGCAGCTGGGGAGCTGAGCACAGACACACGGGGCGCCTTTGTTTGCCTGGGTGAGCAGCCAAGTCGCAGCCCATCTCCGGCTTCGTACCAGCTGCAGATCTAAAGCAGCTGACCGGCCCCTCCAAAAAAACAAAACACGTCTAGGACCAGGGAGTGGCTTGCGCTGGTGCTGAATAATGATGGTCCCGGCACGCTTATAAAACCACGAGGCGGAGAGCTCGCTGCAGAGCTGGTCCTGGCAGCCCTGGCCCTCCGCAGAGCATCGCTGCACCTCGTCAGCCAAGGTACGTGTCTGAAGGAAAAGAGGCAGTGCCCCTTCTCAGCCTGGGGCTGGGCTTGTCTTTAAAACTTGGGGAAAATGCTACCGCTGCTCCCAAGGAGCTGCTGGCCCAGAAAGTTTCTCGACCCTGGGGCTGCACTGAGCGAGCACCAGCGGAGGGGGATGTAGCATCGTGCCCCTGGGCACAGGGCTGGGAGGGTGTGCTGCAGGAAAACGGCCCATCTCCTTCCTCGCAGCACGCCTCGGGGGGTCAGATTGTGCTTTATTTGGTGCTGACGGGGATCCTCACCAGCTTCCCGCAGCACTGTGAACATCCCGGCACACAAAGCTGTGCTGTCCCTCCCGCTGCCTCGCGGGGCCCACCTCAGCCACTTTCCTTCCTCCCAGGTTTCCCAACTGCATCCCGGCACAGCCATGCTGGGCACGGCAGTGCGGCTCTCAGTCCTGCTCGGTCTCCTCGGCTTCGGGAAGGGGCAGATGTTTCACATGGGGCCGTGCCCAGACCCTCCCGTGCAGGAGAACTTCGACATCTCCAAGGTGTGATGCGCCTTCTGAAACTTCACTGCGGGCAGCAGGGGGGTGACTGGGCATGGGGTGGGTTTGAAGGGTCCGGCCTGGGATCCCCATGGCTGTGGGGTGATGCTGGTCCTGTTCTCCGTGCTCCTGGTGCAGCGCTCGCTCAGCCTCGCGCCAAGCAGGGCTCTGCTCCGGCCCCTGGTGCTCAAAGCTTCTCTCTGGACTTTCTTTTCTCAGTACTTGGGAAAATGGTACGAGATAGAAAAGCTGCCCTCGAATTTTGAGAAAGGAAGCTGCATCCAGGCGAATTACTCACTGAAGGAGAACGGGAAGTTTAAAGTGATCAACAAGGAGCTGCTGTAAGTGCTTGCGTGCAGGCTGTGCCTGCAGTAGCGGGGTTCCCATGACCTCTGTCCTTCTCTCTGGGGGTGATATTTCACTAAACCACCCATTTCTGAGTGCGGGGGTGCTGGGGGAGGCACAGGCTCAGATACTGCTCTGTGTGGCTCCACCACAAGCCCTGGTATCACGGGGTGCCAGGGGCAGGACGAGCACGTGAGCGAGCAGGGAGGGAAGCGCGGTCCCTGCGCTCCCTGGCATGGTGTGGGGACTTTGTTCTGCCTCACAACAACACCACAGCAACACGCTTTGTGCCTGGCAGGGAGCTGCTTCCCTGCTGCTCTCCAGCAGCTCCACATCATCCCTGCAGCTTCCATGCTGGGGATGCCCCGGGCAAGCAAACACCTGCAGGAGATGCAGGAGGGGTATCCCAACGGGACCAAACACCCCTGTCCTGATTGCAGCAGCTCAGGGCCCTGCAAGGGCTCCAGCATCACCCCCTGACCTTGCTGCTGGTGGCCCCACAGATGTGAGGTCCCTGCAGCACAGGTGCCAGCAGCCAGCTGGTACTGGCAGAGGGGATGATGGCACCGGGGCACACACACACACACATGCATGCACATTCCCCCTTGTCTTTTACATACAGAAAAAATGAGCTGGAGATACAAAGTGACTTAGGCAAAGCGGCACAGGGCACTGCTGGTGAGCCTCTGCCTCCTTGGGTGTTCCTGTTTCACAGGAAACTGAAAGTTTCCTGCCCCACGGGCAGCGTCTAGGTCGGGAGGCATGCGGGGAATAAATGCAATTATAAGACGGGCAGCCAAGTGGCAGAGCCTGCTGCCAGCAGGGCAGTGCTCTGCACCCACAGCGAAACAAACCCCAGCTCACCAAGCAGGGCCAGGTAATTGCTGTGTGGACGAGTGTGCTGCCTTCCAAAAAATGCAGGTGGTTAAACAGTGGTGAACATGTACCTATGGCCAGGGTCCCACTGTGGTTGCATTGCACCGCTCCTCCCAGCACTGTGCTCTCACTGCCCGTAGGCAGTAGTGACAAGAGTCACCAGGCTGAGCTCTGTCCCCCAGCCCCTTAAAAAAAATAAAATAATAATTTGGCACCAAAAAGGGCACCGCAGGACAGCAGAGCAGGGCAGAGGTGGTCTGCAGGCTGCGCAGCGCTATGCACTTAGTGTGATTTCAAGCTCGCCTAATTCTATTTCTCTCTGTGTCCTTTCCCCCTTAGTTCCAGTGGCAAAGTTAATGAAGTTGAAGGAGAAATCATGCACACGGATGTGAAGGAGCCGGCCAAGCTCAGTGTCCGCTTCAACTGGTGTAAGTCTGTGCGGGGCTGCTGGCGTGGAGCGGGCTCAGCTCCTGTGCAGAGCCACAGAGCCAGGGATGAACCTGCCCGGGGGCTTGGCAGCACCACAGGGCGAAGGCATGGGGCTTGGAGCAGTCAGTGGTGGTTTGAGGGTGTTTATGAAAAAATCAAAGTGAGAGAGACTGGCAGCATCTCCAGCACTCCAGGCCATTTCACAGATGGGGAGAGAGAGCGCTGCTGGTGCAGGAGGCAGGAACAGGCTTGCTTTTGTGGGCATGGTGGTATGGCGACCAGCCCACACCGCCTCTGTTTACAAGCTCCTTTTAATAGTCTTTAATAATGTGGTTTTGTTTGCTTTTGTCCTCCCCTGTGAATGTAACGCACCAGAGGGGCCTGCGAAGGATGGCGCATTTTGTTCCTGTCGCATGGCACAGCACCTTGTCTGCAGCAACACTTGGGAAAGAGAGAATAAGTCCGCCCTCTGCCCCTCTTATTCTACTTCCTCACACCTTTCCCTTGGTTGTTTGACAGCACTCACATGGTTATTTGGAGGCGTGGGGGGACAAGCACAGGAGGTGCAGGTGCTGCTCACGGGAGCAGCCAGCCCATCCCAGGCACCACGGAGGCACCACCTGCACCCCTCTGCCTGCAGCCCATGCCATGCAGGCACCCTGTACATGGCTACGGGCTGGGCTGCTTTTCGGTGGCCTGGACAAGCTGTGCAGGTCACAGCGTTAACTTCCCAGCAAGACCTTCCAGTTCAGGGCTTCGTGGCTTTCTTGAGTCCCTCTGGCAGAACAAGGAGTCCTGCTAGGGCTTTATAAATCACAGCTCCCCAGGCTGACCACAGCTGCGCAGCTTGGCAGCAGCAGAAGTGGGAGCAGCCCCAGGAGTGAGGCTGTAGCCATCTGCTGTGCAGAGAGGGTCACCTGCCGCATGTAACCGAGCCCTTCCTTCCCCTAGTCATGCCTTCTGCCCCTTACTGGGTAATCTCCACCGACTACGAAAACTACTCGCTGGTGTACTCCTGCACGAACATCCTCTGGCTCTTCCACATTGACTACGCCTGGATTATGTCAAGAACTCCCGACATGCACCCGGAGACTGTGGAGCACCTGAAGAGCGTCCTCCAGTCCTACAAGATCGACACTGAGAAAATGATGCCCACGGATCAGCTTAACTGCCCCGCTGAGATGTAACTCCCAGCACGCAGCCACACAGCACCAGACCAGCTATGAACTTTGTTGCTTTTGTTATTAGCCGTTAGATTTCTCTTTGTAACAGAGAAATGCAATAATCCCCTTGCTAATGGTAGTTTGCCAGCCCTGAGTCACTCCGTGCTGTTGTTCCCTCTGTTGCTGTTCTCTGTTTCATCTCACTCTGCCTGACTTTGGCAGAGTGGCTGATTCAAAGCTGATGGGTGCAGAACAGAAACCCTGACGTGCAGGCGTGAAGCTCTGCTGTTGCTGCAAATCCTGCAGCGGGGGGATGCAGAAAGTTATGAGCTGCTATGTGCAAATGTTAGCCCCAGGGGGAACCATGCACCCATAAGTTGTTTTGATGCTTCTGGGCCCGCCGGGAGCACAGGGTGTCTGAGCACAGGGTGTCTGAGCACAGGGGGTCAGTGCTGCAGCCTGGGGCTGGGTGTTTTGAGCACATTTTCTGGTGCGGGGCAGTAGGTAGAAGCTACTGCTAAGTCAGTAGATCTACTTACTAGGGTTTGGGTCTGGCCTTTTTTAAAGTCTGAAAATGTCCAGCAAAACAGCATTGCTCCATCCTGGGTGTCTGTACACGTCTTCCTGTGCCCCTTGTGAGGCTGGTCCTGCACTACCCGAGCTCCGAGCGTACCCATTAGCAGACAGAACGAGTGGGGGCTGCTTGCTTGGTCTCTGCTCCCAAGGCTTCCCCCTGCTCATCACCTCCTGTGCACCCACTGTCTCTGCCCCTGCCCTGCCAGAGGCTCTGCTCCAGCTCTGCTCACATAGCACCGCTGCAACTCATTAAAACGAAATCCAAACACCTGCTTCTGGCCCTCTCTGCCTTCCTGCCTGCGTGGCGTGCTGTCGGCTGGGCGCCCACCTCCGTGCTTCTGCCTCCTGCCTGGGAGGGCCTGGCTGCAGGGGGCTTACCCCTGCTGTTGGGGGGGCGACCTGGTGTGGTGCAAAAAGGCACCTCGTAAGCAGCTGTTGGAGTGCTGGGATGCCCTGTGCAAAGCCAAGGTGCTTTTGTACACACCTGGGTTTTATTGTGCTGGGAGAAACTTAAAAAAAAAACCAAAAAACAGCTGGGGAGGGAGTAGAGGGACTCGGGGTGCTCGTTGCTTTTGCTCTGCAGCTCGCTGAGGACAAATGCCATCGGGCTGGCAGCCTGCTGGAAGCCACCTGCACCACGGCCACCTCTGCTGCGTTGTGTCCATGGAATAAACCCCTTGCCGTGCCCTCAGCACGCAGCAGGTGCCGGGCACCTCAGCACCACCGAGTGAAGCGGGGGATGCTGCGGCCGGGGGGGCTCCCTCGCCTCAGGGGCAGGCTGGGGGCGAGGCAGGAGCGACTCCCCGCAGCCCCCAGCAGCGGGCTCGGCCTCCCCTCAGCTCCCGTCCCTGAGGGGCCGGGTCCCCCCGTGAGGCGGGCGGGTGGCTGCGGTCCGCCGGCCGCCAGGGGCCGCGGTGGGGCCCGGCGGGGCCGTGAGGCGAGGCCGTGAGGCGAGGCGGGGCCGTGAGGCGCGGGCCGGAGGCGGGCGGCTCGGCCATGGAGGCGCCCTCGGTGTCCTCGGTGCCGGCCGCCTCCGCTTCGGGGGCGCCGGCGGGGCGAGGGCCCATCAAGGGCATCCTGAAGAAAGGTGGCGGGAAGGCGGCGGGGGGCAGCGCGGCCACCGGGGCCAGGCGGGCCAGCCCGGCCCGCGACGACGACGAGCACGGGTGAGGCCGCGGAGGGGAGGAGGAGCGGGGCCGGGGGGTGCTGGGGGGCCGCGGGGCTGCTTTGTGGTGTGGGCAGCGGGGTAACGCTGCCGGTAAGGGCAGTAAGGGCAGTAAGGGCAGCTGTGTTCGGCACTGCTCAGCGAGCAGCCTCCAGACTGAGCAACAGCAGCGCGCTGGGTTAGTCCCGAAAGCCTCGAGGTGGGCTTGGGCTGTGGGGACCTCGCCTCCTGCCTGCTGTGAGCGCCCGGTGTGTGGTGACAGCGCCCTGAGACGCCATCGCGTCGTGGTGACCGCATTCTGCACACCCGTGTTTGTAGGAGCTCTTTGGGCAGTTTTCTTCGCTTGGGACCTCAGTTGGTATTGCAAGGAGAGGAATAACAACCATCAAAATGTACGTGCAGGGTCCTTTCTATCATGGTCATGTTCCTTTTCCTCTTTGCCTAGTCTAAGTCAGCCAGGTAGGAACTCAAAGTTGTTCATTTTCTGTACTGCCTGTGGCAAAGGCTCCTGCTTTCCAGAGAGACATTATTACGACTGAAGGAGTGGCCTGATATTTTTGAAGAAATTGAGTGTAAGTAGCAATACACTGCACATGAGTTGTGTGTGGTTTTTTTTTCCCCCTCTAGTTTTAATATAAGCACTACATACTTATTATCACGCCAGGCTGTGAGGGGCCTCTGTTTCATTTTCTGTGGTCTTTCTTCTACCAGCTTCAAGAGTGATCAGAAGTACAAGCAAATGAGCTGAGTGTGTAGTATAGCTGGGGGTAAGCAGTTAAGCAGACAGGAATCCAGCTTCTTTTTCTTATTTACTGACGTGAATCAATAAATGTGTTATTAGATTAATTCTGAAATTGCCTTGCAAGTTAAAGCACATTGCCTAAATCTGGCACACTGCATTAGAAGATTTCCTGGAAAGATCAGGATGGGGAATTTAAAGCTAGTTTGCGTGCAGATATCATTTTTTTAGTTGGTGACTTCATTACATCAGCGTTGCTTCTAAATTTAGCAAAATCATTTTGTGTTCTAAAAGAATTGGAAGCAGTGCAGCTGTGATGTTCCTTGCAGACTGAAAAGTGGCATATGAATTAAGGTATGTTTTCTTTGTGCACCTCAATCAGCAGCCTCCATACTTCTCTCTAATACTGAAAGTCAGATCTGACTTTCCTTTAAAAATAGCTGCAGATAAAGGAACTCATTGTGTCAGCTGTCATCTTGTAAAGTACCGTGTTCAGAAGAGCTCTCACGTATTTGCATCATTATCGACCTGGTACTGTTAGCGATGGTGAAATTCTTTGCAAAACTTCCTTAATGAAGATAGGATGCAAAAGAGAAGTCTGTGAAATTGGGACATCACTGGAGCAGCATCCTGAGAGCTGAGATGATGGCTTGTGGTAGATACGTTCTTGGCAATGCTGGTATGTTGTTTTTTTTTTCCTTAAAGCTCCTGTTAGAGCATCTGAGGGATCTGATTTGGCATTTTACAGAGTAACTAACTCTGTGTATTTAGCAGACTCTTAATTCCCTGATCTGGTTTGCAGCATAGTCCTGCCAGCAGCTGTGTTGGAGTCTGCTATGGTAGGAACGAGTGAGGTGTGAGAGGTGTTCCTTCGAGTAATACAGCCGAAACTGACCTGTCAAGGTGTGGTCTCAAAATAAATGGTTACTTACGTTTAGGGATGTGAAAGAATACAAGCGAACACTTCTGGATTTTCTCATCTTTTAGATTTGATTTTACTTAGGAAGATTAGATTTCGTATTTCTCAGGTATAGAAATATGAACGTGGCCCCCTGAAGTCATGTCAGGAAGTGTTTTCCTGTGATGCTCCTAAGCTTTATCATTAATGTTATGCTGCTGTGGCATGCCTAAGCATGCCAAATTGGAGGCAGTCAAGGGAGGTGTGTGTTTTTAGAGCACTTAGTCACCCTCCTGTGACAACTTTTTACGTGAAGTGGTGAAATGACCCGTTTGTCTGTTTGCCACTAATGATAACTTTTTTTCCTAGCTGAATTTTAAATGGTGCTCTGGGAGGTGTTCCACAGCTGAGATGCTTACTGTTGGAATCTAAGTTTAAAGAAGTGGATGTGAAAAAAGAAACCACTAAAATATTTCTCAGTCTTGTATTTGTAAGATACTGAATCGTTGGCTGTAGACTGTCTAGTTTTGAGACTGCTGTATGTGAAAGATTTTTTTCCAGGTTTGCCAATGTTACTGTTAGGTTTGGCATTGTGAGCCTGGGTGGATTAATCCTGGATGTCCTCTGGGCGAGTGCAGGGAGCACAAAGGCACCTGGTAGGAGCATCTCCCATCTGTCACATCTCCTCTGCGACCAAGCCCCGTCCCTGCAGCATACATGCCATTGTCTGACTGCTGTGGCTGGTAAAAAATCCGAGGCACTCGATATGTAACCATATGATCATCTTATGTTTGTCGTACATGGACTCTAAGCAGGTGTTTAGCTGATGTTTAACTGGTCATTTTAAGGATCTTAAATAGGTAGGTTTGAGTTGCTGGCGTTCCTGGACTAGGGCTCTTGCTTTGTCATCACGAAGCTCCTGACTCCCCACCCTGCTGGAGCAGGCAATCTGACTCATGTTTTGTCTGCTCAGATTGCAATCTTGGTGTTGCAGCTGGGACAAAGTGACAAATAGATAGGAAACTTCACATAAGACCTGGTTAGTATATGCTAAGGTGATTAATCTTATTGGTATGCAGTTCTAGAGCACAAGTTCATGGCGCGTAGGGTTCAGCATCAGCTCCTCCACTTTTATACTTTTTTCTCTCTTAGTTTTTCTTCCCTTGTATTATGCAGAGCTTTCCATGAAGGGTAAATTTAGTTTGTACTTGGACTTTTGCGTAATCAGTTTTGTTTTGCAGGTGGTATGCTGTCTAAAAGCAGTTATTTTATTGCACCTGAATATATATTTTAAATCTTGTAATTTATTATTGGAACGGTCTGCACTTAAATAAGAGTAACTAAACTAAATTCTTTCAGCCAATTGCCGACCCCACCCCTGGAATAAAACACAAACCTAACATTTGCTTCCCTAAATAATAATTGTCCAACACTTCACAAATACCTTAATGCATAAAGAAATATTAAACAGTGGGATTATTTGGTGTTCTAACGTTATATTTCTTGACTTAGTCTAAGGGAAAGACTGCCTCCTGTGGTGCTTGCACTAGCATTTTAGAGAAAATGTGGAACCTGCTAGGTGCTGTTGACTAAACCTTTCAGTCACTTCCAGATAGCAGAGTTGTGGCTGTTCCTCTGCCCACAAGGCAGCTGCTTTCCTTCTGGCCTATACACTGTCACTCTGGGTAGGCTTTTATTTCTGCAAATGTACATGAAGTGGAATGTTCTCTGATTAACTGAGGAAATTCTACATAATCTACCATCACTGGTGCCTAACTATGTGAAGCATGAAACCCTTGTGGCTTAGTTACACCAGTGAATCAGTACAGTTTTGAGATTCCAGTTTAGAGGGACAAAAGCAGTATTAATTACCAGCTTGTTCAGTCCAATCTGTTTTCCTGCAGGAAGTTATTTGTTGCTTTGTAGTGTTTGTGCACCAGTTTTGCCTGTAATTGTAGCAGCTCACTGAGCAGAGGCAAGGTGGAAGTTCCATGGCTTTTTACAGCAAGCACTGTGGGTTGTAATAAGAGGAAGAATGATTTTAGGTTAACTTGTAATGAGAGCAGGCAGTGATTGAAAGAGTGCTGGTCTCCTGAAGATGTGCACAATGTATTTGTACAGAATCGAGTTCGTTTAACTCCTGTGACTTGTTAAGGAAAGTCAAGTCATGATGGTAATTTGTTGTGACTTAACAGAAGTATGTACGGGGCAGTGTTTAATAACCATGTTTATACTTCGAACATGCCTGCGTGTCATAACAGTGTACTTTTGGCTAGTATATAGGAAAGGCTCAAAGACATTCTCAGTGTTTGTTTTCTGTGGCCAGACAGAACAGATTGTTTTTAGAAGATTCAAGAAGATTGACTTCTCTTTCTTATTTCAGAAAAAAATCCCAGAAGTGGGATGAAATGAACATCATAGCTACGTACCACCCAGCAGGCAAAGACTATGGCTTGATGAAAATAGATGAACCTAGTACTCCGTATCACAGGTAGGTTTGCTGAATTGCTGTCCTAAATAATAGCAGGTGACAGTTCTGCTGCAGAACTGCGTTATGGATGATTGCCTGACAGACTGTGCAGTCCTACTGGATATATACAATGGATGTGCATTTACAGAGCTTCTAAATAACGGGTTATAGCTATCAAGATGTACTGCCAAAGTAAATTTTTGGGGATATCTATATGTATCAGGTTTTAGTCTTTCAATGGAGTTAGTAAGTCTGGCTTGTATTGACATTTTTCATTAACATCTGTGCTAGAATAACAGCTTTCCAAATTTAAATTAAGTATTGATATAAATGACAATTTATGAAGTACTACAGGAGTCTTTTAATTGAGCATTGCAATGTCTTGAATATTTTATGAATGAATTTTTAAGCAGCAAATTATTGATAAAGGCTGCTTTTCTTCTTTGCCTTCCAAGCATGGTAGGAGATGACGATGAAGATGCAGTGAGTGATTCAGAATCAAACGAGCCCTTAAAAGCAGATGTGTTGAGTAAAAAGTAAGTATTTTAATAGAGAACTGACTAAATATCACTTCGCTTTTCCTAGAGTGGTTTGCTTTTTGGAAAGGCATCACTGTGTATTCTAGATGCTGAATTTTTGCTATTTTCAGAGTAGTTTTCTGCATTGATTGTTCCACTGGTACTTAACATTTCTTGGATCTTGGTAGTATACATAAATCATATTCATTATTTTGCTATATTTGTACGTGTGTTATAGAATTTCATGTATTTCATATAGTGAAAATCTTAATGCTCAGAATCTTGTATTGTATGCTTTATGTAGACTGGCAGCTGCAGCTGAAGGTAGGGGACCTAAGATTATAGCAAGGCTAGAGGAAAGCAGTGAGGAGGAGGATGAGGATGAAGAATTAACACCTGAAGAACGAGGTAGGCATAAGTTGGTGGTTTCTATACATATACATACACATAAGTAGTTTCATTTTTTCAGTACTTTATCTTCCCAAGTATTTCTTACTATCTGACCAAGCCTTTGTCATTTGAAAATGGAGATACAGAGTCTTTGAAGGGAGAGTAAAAGATCAGAAATGAACAGATCAGTTGTTCAGTCAGGACTGTTTGGTTTGGGATCTACATATACAGAGGAGTTTGCTGGTACTGGCAGCCCACTTGTACAGAAGCTTAATTCCTCTTACGAAACCTGGACTTCTCAAATGAGCAGCTCTTCCATTTTGGGGGTAGGTAAGTACTTAATTTGAACGTATTTCAGGTAGATGTAACAATTTAATGAGAACTGCTGTGATTAAGACTCTACTACTTGCTTGCAATAATACAGCTGTTCATTTCTCAGAGTAGTTGGTAGATGGGTCCAGACAGAAATCTACAATTATTCAGAAGAAAATTACCTCATGGATCTTCAACAGAGATGTTACTTTACATTAGCTTGGGATAGAACATTTTGAGGAAACAGACATTCAGTAATACTTCTGAAGTTTCAGGATTGTGTTAGAAAAGTAGTGTTGGGGCTGCCAATAAACCAAGTTTAACTATGAGACCTGCTTTGGAAATGTTGGGTGTATGAAGCAAAGATAAGTTTCAAGCCACAGGGAAAGATGAAAATGCTTTCTTCAACATGTGGTAAACATCTCTCTTATGACTAGCCTTTGGTAGCTGGCCAGTAGTCAAGTTGAACATCTGTAGAAGTTCGTCTGCTGTCCCACTAGTACATCCTGGCTTGTCCATAAGTCTGCTTAGAAACCAGAGTTGTGAAACTGTGGAAAATTTACATTACTGGATGTTTCTCTTCATTCAGACTTCATTTTACGTGCGGACAGGTTCTTTGAAAAGCCCTTCAGCCATTCCAGTTCATTAATTACTACTCTTTTCATAAGTCAGTTTAAAAAAAAAAACAAGGATTGTTTGGTCATAAAAACGATGTACTGTCGTGGTAGGAATTAACCTGACCTAGGAAGTGGTTGGTGCTCATGCCTCTCTGGAGAGGAAGTAAGTGATTTTATTTATTTATTTTAAAATATCAAATCTTTGCACTTTTTGTCCACAGAAAAAAAGAAGCAGTTTGAAATGAAGAGAAAAATGCATTACAATGAAGGACGAAACATCAAACTGGCAAGACAGCTCATCGCAAAAGAACTACCTGCTGAAGATGATGAAGAGATGTGTGATGCTGCAGATGTAGAAACGATGAATACAGAAGCTACTGAACATGGTGAGGTGCTGCTTAATCAAAAGCTGTATTTAACTTGTGATCCTTTCAGCTGTTGGGGTGAATATGCTCAAGTGTGAGAATAGAGAGGGCATGGTATCGATGTAATGCTCAACGTGCAGGACTGTGTGCTGTTGTGATAGGTAGATTTGCGGTGTGGTAACAAAGCAATCATCACTGTTTATTAAACACATGGGCTTCTGTTAGAGCACAACAGAAAAACAAACACCTCTGCTTCAGGCCAATAGTATCTCCACAGCATGCCTGACTCTTGGTAGTGAAGTTGCCAGCATCTTTTTTTGTAGGGGAGTTTTCCTGTGCAGGACATTTAAAGCTGTGGCCACAAGGGAGAGCCTGGCCCTATGTTGTGGCGTGCTTCCCATTCCACTCCCAAACCATCCTGTAGTCAGCAGTAGGCAGCTAGCTTGAAGGCTTCTTCCCTGTAGTGCATCTAACAAACTTCTGCCTGTCTCTTGGTAACTTAAAACTGTGCTGTTAGGAGTTCAGTATCACTTGTCCTTAGGCATTAATGTTCAGTCTTATAGTATGGGATGAGAACCTCAGCCTCCCCTTTTAACACAGCTGCTGAAAGAAAGTCTAGGACTCCTAGCTGGGAGCTGTTTCGGGAGCTTGCTGCAGAGCCGTCTCTTGATAGCAATCTCTTAGAACTACAGAGGGTGACACCTTCTCTGCCATCTTTAGCTCCTCTCTGGGACTATGTAACAAAGTCTTTGATTTTTATGTATTCACCAGTCCTTCTGGTTAATAACTACAGCTGTTCAGTACCTACCTCTGTGTGGAACAGCACATTGAACAAGTTTCTGGCATTAAAAAAAATAGCCATCTCTTGCTAATGAGACTAGTGGTGATGAATCTAAGTCTGTAAGCCTCCTTCATCTGTTGCTTGGCAAAACTAGAGACATTAAAACAGCCTGCAGACTTGGGAAGATGCTGCATGGGTTTAAATTGGTTCACATTTGCTTTGCACAACCACATGAACTAAACTCTTCTAAATATAGTTTAAATTCCACTACATAAAAAGGTGATTTGCTGAGTTGCATTTAAAAAAAAAAAAAAAAAAGTTTTGTGGATTGCACTTTTGTCTTCCATTATTTCTTATGGAAGGGCTAATGCCTTCATACTTGCTTTGAGAGGGTCACTTGTTACATGTGAGACCCATTAATGGCCTGGATTTCTACAGTAACTTGTCATACGCCTTATAATGGCTATTTACTAGAACTTCACTCCCCAGGGGAAAGGAGGGCTCCAATAGGCAACCTTAGGACCTTTCTCCATGGCTTGAAGCTGCCATCTCTCTGCACTCTGCTGTAAGACAGAGGCAACTCCGCTCCCCAGCTGCATTCTCCAGTGGACTGAAGGCACACCTTTGCAGCATTTTTCCATCTTTATTGTTGAAGTCCATTCCACCTTGCCTCATAACCAACTTCTGAACCACAACTGGTAATTATTTATTTCAGACTGCTCATGGCCAATAGGTTCCATAAATGTAACTGTTTGGCAGGTTATCAGTCCATTAACTAACTGGTTCACCTCTGCCATGGCTTATAGAAATACTTTCCATTAACTCGATGTGGTTCTCAGTTCTTCACTTCTGTTTTTGTATTATTCTGCTTAACAAGCCCTGGCATTTCAGTATCTCCTAATCTCTACATCAGCTATCCCAGTTTGTGTTCTCTGTACTTGATCAGTTCTTCTGAGGTTCAATACTGGTCTCACTCTTGTAGCGGCTAGTGAATTGAATGATAGCGTGCAGGATTGGTCAAAGGACAAGGATATCTGGTCAAAGCTGTCAGTAAGCAACTGTCTTCTGTCACTGCCCATGTTTTAAGCAATTTCTACGTTGAGATGATAAGTGTTCAGTAACGCAGCTGTGTTAATGCCAAAGTTTTACTGGAATAACATTTTGGAGATGACATCTCTTGGTTACTCTCTCACCTTTATTCAGGGGCACAAAAGAATCTCATAAATGTGAATTATAGATTTTTGAGCTACAGAACATTTCTGGAATAGCTAGTTCTAAAACTTGCTGCTTGGATTCATTTCTAATCTGTACTTTTGGTTGTGCTAGGCAATTGGATATTTAAACAGTATTTTAATTTGTTCGTTTCCTTCAAGGAAGTGGATCAAAACGCTAATAATTTTGTTTCTGAAATTGCCTCCTTAGAACTTTAAGTGTGTTAGGATGCTCTTGGATCTTTCTGAAGCTGTGTGGAAAGTCTGTAATTCATCTGGATAGCTTTCAAAGAGCTCTTCAACTTCAAATCATTGTATTTTAAAGTGCTTTCGTAGCAGAGAAGGAGTTTTCTTCAGTGTATTGGGTGATGCAGGCAATGACTCTGGCTTATTTTGTCTTCAGTCTGTGAAACTAACAGCTCTGTGTTTAAGTGCAGAGGAAATGTCTGTCTTTTACTGCATGTTGTATTAGCTACATTTTGATAATTTATTCCAATTGACTTCAATTTTTCTGAAGTTAGAGATCATCTAGAGATCATCTAGTGATGTAGCTGCCACTCACCTTATGTCTGAGAGTGTAAATCCATGTAAGTGAGAGCTGCTATGCAGTGTCTGTTTATTCCAGTGGAGCAGCATGACTTCCATAGCACTGATGATCGCTTCAGGTGCAGATGTGACATGCGGTATCTCGCAGTGGTCTGTTGTGATGCCAGGGCTCCTCTGGCTCCTTGTTTTTTCTGGGGGCAATGTGAAACCCTCTTGTCACTTGGAAGCTTTTGGTCCATGAAGATCCCTTCGAGGTTCTTTGCTTCTCTTATCCAATGCTTCTTTCTACCCTCTAATCCCATCTGTTTTGTTTTTCAATAAAGCTAGCAGTGTTCTCCTGATCTCTGCAAACTCTCCTTTTTGTTATGTCTGGGCTGAAGAAGGGGCTAAGGATTTGAGACAAGTTTTTTAAGAAGGCTTCTGTCACTTACCACTGAGTCCACTAATGTAAGTTGCGCTTCTTGGTTACAGAATGAGATTTCTTGCTGATTGAAATGAAGATGACCAGTCCAGTCAGTAATGGTGAGAACTGTTTGTGTATTTCTGCCCCTGTTTTCATCCTGGGCTACCAAGTATTTTATATGGATGGGTTGTTCCTTCCTTGCCTTATTCCTGTACCTTATTCCCATGCATGTGGGTTACACCAGTCAAGCCTTTGGGAGGAAAAGGAAGTTGAAGTTGTAGCAGTCTGCATTAAGGTTGATTCAGCATTTCAGCTCCCCTGGAATTTCTCTGGCTATTCCCTTTTTATGACTCCATGAACAATGCAATAGGCTTGTGCAAAATAATGACCTTTGCTCCTCTCTGCAAACACCTTTCCTTTACAAATTCTATTTGAAATCACTGAAGGAAAAGTTCTTCATTTAAGTTGATTTAAGCATAATGATTGACATGCAGGCCTGTCTTCTGCTACACAGAAGTATCTTTCCTCAGGAGAGACAAGGGTGTGATCTGTAGTAATTCACCTGACAGGCAGTAAAACTATTGTTCTCTGCTTATGGCTCGTTTAGCATTATTGCAGCCATGATAAACTTACTCAGGTACTGCTGATCAGCTTAGCTGTCAGCTGACTGGGTGTGCTCTTTTGGACTTTGATTGATACAGAATACATTGTGTTTTCTTAACCATGGTGAGCAGCGCCCTGAAGATGACTTACCTGGAAAGACTGGGGTCATGCCTAAATTGTTCCTGCTTGTTGGGACCGAGTATAACTCCTGCACAAGCCTAACTGGCTTGCTTTAAGCTTATCGTGTGGACGTGGCCTTCTCTGATCTTTGCGTTATGCAGCTGAGTTTTCAAGCATATAGATGTGTGTGTGTGTGTAAATATATGCACATATTCACATAGACACGTGTATAAATAGCCTTTGTCAGTGGGTTTTTTCATGTGAAGTAACTGATGAGAAGGAACCTCTTCTCTGATTTATTACTGTTCTTTAGTTCAAAACCATGAGTTGAAGACTTGGTGAACAACTCATCAGGCTGTGCTACTTCCTTTATTAGCTTATTTTGTTTTTAGAGTGTCTCATCTGGAACTGAAATTTGACCAGAATAGCGCTATGCTAAGTGGCATTTCAGGAACCTCATATGTTCTGCAAATTGCTCTCTTAAGTCTTGGGTTAAATACTCCTGATTCCAGGGTTGTCAAGAATTCAGTGCATGATGTGCTGCATAGCTTTGGCTCTCTCTTCAAAACATGAGGGTGAAATAATTATTTTGGAGGCTTCAGCACTCTGAAACTAAAAGCATACAGGCTGCTAAGATGGGTTGCAAACACTGCCTTTGGGGAAGCAAAGATGATTTCAGGAGTATATTTGTGTGGTGTTTTGTTTTTTGTTGTTTTATATATTCAATGAGTGTTACCTGTAGTTACCTATTTTTGTAATCTTTCTTTGCAGCACATGCTACTCAAGACCAGCTGGAAGGTAGAACACACAGCATAGAAGAAATCTGTCCAGAACTGTAACTGCTTGTCAAAGACACAAATATAAACACTGCTTCATGATTTTTGCTATTAAGGCTCTTAAATATTGAGAAGCATATCAGTTACAATGTTGTATTGCCAAGAACGTTAATTTTAGACTTGTCCATTAGGCAGAAAAAAAATCTGTCTAATTGATTTATTCTTGTGCCTAGTATTTCATGGAGAATACTGCTTTATTATCTGTTCAACCAGAATGGCATTCCCTGTATGTATAATGCTGATTATCTTGCGTAATGTACTGTTACTCTTCATGCTTCGAAACACAGACACTATCTCTGTTTTTTCACTATTTATTTGACAGTGCTCTAGGTGTGGTATCCCTTATGGAAGGGTTTGGGATTCAAGAGCTAAATGGTACAGCATATATCAGACTGACACGCAAGCTATTTATCAGATGTATTAAGCAGTATAAAAAGGGATTATAGAAGTTTTAGAACTTTTTAAAAACAATTTTGACCTCCTAATCTAGATTTCAGTGTATTATTACCCATACTTCCTCAATCTCTAGAAGAGCTATATTTTTCAGACCAGTATTTGGAATCAGTTATTTGCTTCTGACTAAGGCAGTGCTAACATCTGGTGGAGGGAGTGTCTTACACTGGAAGCGTGCTAACTTGAACTTTGAATTTAACTCATTTTCTCTTCCACTGGATGTTTTTTTTTTTGGAGCTCTCTTGGTTTATCTTGAGAACATGAAAGTTCCCTCTGACTTTTCTCTTAAAGCCACATCAACTGCTATTCTTACGGCTCTTGCTTCAAGCTTTTGATCCTTTCCGGTTGCGCGATGAGTTGTGCTACTAGCACCTGAAGAAAAACACCCATCCATAAGGAAAATCCACATCAGGACTTGAAGATGGGCTGAGTTCAGGCTCTGTCTGTTCTTTATGTGAAGGTAACTGCTGGTGATCTGCTTGTTTGGGGTTTGTAACCTGCATACTGAAAACCACTGGTCTAAACCTTTCTGCATCCAAGTCAGTTACTTACAGCAGCTGCTTTTGCAAAATGAAAGCTGTTTGGAAGATTAGAAGGGAAACTGCCTAATTCAGATGGGTTGTTTATGATGTGGTTGTGTAGCCCTTGTAATGAGGGTTCTGAGCCTCCACACGCTGTAACCAACTCCCCACGCGGTGGAATCTGACTGGGGAATGTTCCGCTGTTCAGAATAGTTCCCGGGTTTTCTTACACCAACCAAGTACACACTTCAGCTTCAGCTTGATTATGGAATCCAGTGTATATCTTAATTTGGGTCTGAATTTGGTATGTTGCAAAAATCCATAATTCTATGGATCTATTTTAAAACGTCTTTGTCCACTGTGTGTGTGAGGTTTGAATAAAGCCATGGAAGTTATTTTACAGTTACCGGCATCCAGTGTGAGCTTTCATGAAACCCAGAGAGTGAATAAAGCAGGAGTACGCTGTCACTCGCGAGGTTTATACAGGAATATATGAGATATATTTTATATATATATGATATATTTTATACACAATACTGGGGGCTCGGTGCCGGTACGTGGCTGGTGCTGATGTGTGGTGAAGGCCCCGGGCCGCCCGCCATGGCAGCCTCCCGCCGCCGCCGTGACCGACAGGCGGCCCGGCCTATCGCAGCGCGGGGGCGGGCCCCTTCCTCGCCGAAGAGCGCCGCCATTGGGCTTTCGGGTCGCCGTGGCAACGCGGTTGGCCAATGGGTGAGCGGCTTACGGCGGTCTCCCCGTTGGCTTGCCCGGCTGTTACTCTTCTACGGCCCGACGCGGAAGCGATCCGTGAGCCGCACGGCGGTTGGCTGCCTCCTGCGAGAGGCATCCTTATTGGCCAGCCTCCCTGTTAGACCCTCCCCTCTCGCTTTGCGATTGGCCAATCCTTCCCCCTCCTTTCCCCTTGGCCCGGCCACCACCCCCCCTCCCTCCTCCTCTCCAGCTAAGCCCCGCCCACCCTCCCACCCCATTGGCCCACCCCCCCGTTCCCTACCCCCTATTGGCCCTCGGGGCCGTCAGTCGCGGCGGGGCGCGGGAGGAGGGCAGAGGGGCGCTCGGTGTCGGCGTCCCCTCAGCAGCCGCCGGGCCCCGCCCGGCCTCGCCCCGCGCCCGCTGCCCGCTGCCGGCAGCATGAGGGTGGCCGTGGACTTCGAGGAGTGCCTCAAGGACTCGCCGCGCTTCAGGTGCCGGGGCTGGGGGGGGCCCTCAGGGGGTGCCGGGGCCTCGGGGAGGGCCCGGGGGAAGGCGCCGGCAGCTCCTGAGGCGGCGGGCCCGGGGCTCGGGGCTCGGGGCTGACCCCCCCCAAGGCCCCTCACAGCCTCCAAGGCGCCGTTCCAGGCTTCGAGGGCTAGGAAGTGGTTACAGGCGTGCAGCCTGGTTGTAGCGAGGGTCGCACACAGGGATGCAGAGCGAGGCTTTTATGGGGCTGTTACCGGAGGGAGCAGTGCCCTTGTGCTGTATCCCCCGGCTCACAGCAAGGCAGAGCCTTGGCTGCCTCCTGACCTCGCCGAGCAGGTGGGTGTAGTCGCGTCCGTCCCATCGGTGTACCTGTTGGAGCGGTTAAATGAACCTGTCAGGAGGCGCACACTGCGTGGAAGTGTCATAGTTTGCTTACACTGTGCTTACAGCCACAGAGAGGACAAGGAGGAAGTAGATGAATCAGAGTTTCTGAGTCACCAAATCCCTTTTTTCACGGGGAACAACTTAAACCTTTCAAAACACAGCTACGTACAGCTTCACAGACATGGCTTTCCTGCTTGTCTGCCTCTCACGAAGGTCACGTCAATCACTTTTTGGTCTTGACGTGAAATCGGGAATACACTGAATCCAAGAAGGGGTTGTTAGTTGATGTACAAAGCGGGTGAAGGTAGCATGATAGAGTTGCTGATACAACGATAGATAATGGCCACAGAGATTCCATCAGACGAGCGGTGTGTTATTTCGTAGTAAGGTATCTTTTTTCCCAGCAGATAAAGAAATCTTTGGATTAGAAAACTTGAGGCAAGGGCGGCCTTCTTGCGTCTCTGTGCTTGTGAACTTAGGTCAGATCAGATTGGCTCACGTCTGGAAACCTGACATTTAGGAGCTTATTTCTGAAAGGGCAATAGGAACAGCTGTGAATTTGAGCCCAGTTTTGTAAACTTGCAATCATGTTTTGCTGTGTGTGATTTTTTTTCCCTAATTGTGCTCTTCCTTTGAAGCTTTGGAAATAATCTCTCAGCAGTCATGTGCTTCGTGACTCCCGTTCTTGAAGCGTGGACAAACCGACGAGCTAGCGAGGAAGTGCGTCCGCAGTTCTCCTGCGGTGTGTTGCTGTCATCCCTCGAATGAAGAAGTTGCTTAGGGAGGGGCCTCGGAGCAGTCCCTGGGTAGCAAAAACGGAGTTGTGCTGACAAGTTCTTTTTGTGTAATCAGGAATTCCTGGAGTGTCTTTTAATATCCAGATAGTGTTGTGAAATAATACTTTCTCCTTATCTTTAAACACTGAGCATTTCAGTTTCAGAGGTTATTGGAACAGGCTTTTTTTTTTTTCCTTCTTGTAACTGAAGAATCATTTCTTGTAATAGATGAAGTATGTGCTGTAGCAGCCCCTTTGATCACTTTAAAGCTAAATCGTTAGAAAGGACAAGTACGTTTAAGTGATGTGGAAACGTACCTGCTGTGACAGTGATCTTGATAAATAACAGAACAAAATTCTGTTGCTTGTGATGTGAGCAATTAATTGGAAGAACTCTCTAGGGGAAAAAAAAAGACAAAGCTTTAGCCTGTTGCAATCTTTAAAATTCATCTGTAAAAAGTTGGTGTTCTTGATTGCTTATTTGTCCTTATCTGCCACTGTTGCTGGATATTTTTTTTTTTTTTTTGCATTCAGAGAGAGTTCACTTCCTGAGACCCCAGCTGCAGAGCAGATGATGGGGGAGAGGCAGAGGAAAGCATATAAATGCAGCTGCAAATTGGCATTCGTAATGAAAGCATATAAGGGGTGGTTTGAGTAGAATTGGTGGCTGTGGCATGCCTTCCTCGAGGAGACCTGTCCGAGGAGTCCTCCCTGTAGATGTAGCTGCAGCTCTGCGTGGCGTGGGGGGCCTGCAGCACCAGGGCAGCGGCCTTGTCGCTGGCGTTCCCTGATACACGGGTGCTTTTGCCTTTGTTTTGTCTGACTTGGGTTTGGGTGTTAGAGCAAGCTGTGGCTGTTGTAATGCTTGTTGTCTGGTCTTTTGTTTTGGAGAAAAACGTTATGGACAGTCTGTTAAATTGGGATTTTTCAAAACTCAAGCTTTTAGGAATAGTTACAGACTTCAGGTAGTTCAGCTCTGGCGCAGGGTGCAGTCTGCGGGGCAGTCAGTCTGGTGAAGGATTTACCTCTTTGCACTCACTGTTCTATTTAAGTATGCATCTCCAAAAGCAATAAGCAGTCCTTCATGACAGCTGTAGCAAATACGCGAGCATTTAAATACTCTGCAGAAACAGGAAGGGGAAATGGGATGCAGACCTCGTGGCAGGAGTGTCAGTGTGCTCCGCAACCTCGGGGCTGCCCGGGCCAGGGGGTCCTGCTGGGACGGGCCTCGCTGGGAGCAGAGCACGGGGTGGGGAAGTGCTGGAGGGAGCTGTCTGCTCCCGCTGTTAAAATAAATAAAGACTGGCTTTTACCTTCTGTCAGCGTTTGTTGCAATTTATTTGCTTTTAGGAAGGATTGAATCCCTTTGTGTGCACATAGAGCAGGAAGAATAGGACATAGATTAGAACATCTCTTTCCTTCTCTAGCATGAAGGACATGATTAACTTCAATCTTTTTGGTATATCTTATGTCAGTAAGTGTGCCATGCTGGAATAAGCTCTTTTAAAATCTTTTCTAAGGCTTATTTTTCTGTAAATCTGTTCCTTGAACTGTTGTTTTTAGGCAGTTGTGTTGATCTGGTGGGAGGAGTAATCTAATACCTAGTAGTTCTTTTTGGTATGGATTCATAATGATCGAAAGATCTCATCTCTGAACTTGGCAGCATTCAGTTGTGCGTTAATCACTGAACACCTCCACTGAGAGCCTGGTTTGCTGCGTGTCCTGTGTCAGAAGGCCTATTGAGGATGGCTGTCTGAACGGGTCACTGATGCCACTTTGGGTTTCCTACATTTCTGATCTTCTCTCCAGTTCAGTGCTGTGAAACCCAAGGTGAGTCAATAGGCATCTGTCCTGCAAGTAACAGGCAGAGTTCTGTCACGTGGGGATGTGGTTAGGGCAGGGAAGTGGCTGCTTTCACCTGTCTGGAATAGCTCTTGTTGAGCTGTCAGAGCCCAGCAAACGTACCTAACCCGTCTGCTAAGTACTTCTGGAGGAGAATGCAGAAATGGGAATGTGGGTGATCCTTTAGGACCCCACAAACAGTGCCACCGTGCTCCAGCCCCTGGCCACTGTGCCACAAGCGCCCAGCCAGGATGCTCTTGGTCCGTGTCTTCGTGGTGAGGCTGCTCACGAGGGTCAGTTCAGTTGTGGCCAAGGCATTAGGAGGTGCACGGCCAAGGAGGTTGGCTCATTCTTGCTCAGACTCACGTAGCTCATCCAGGGGAGACTTTCAAAGAAACCTTAGGTCTGGGCTTTCTGCCCTTGGAGTTCAGGAGTGGAAAGTGAGTTTGTAACTTCCTGGCAAGGCAGCGTGGAAAATAGCACAGAAGGAGCGAGTAGGATACAGTAAGTGAAAATAGAAGGCTGCCCAACTTTGTAAGTTTGCAGTCACCTGTTTTACACTTCTGCTGTTGTGTTAAGCTTATCATCTGCAGTGTATGGCTACAGAACAGCCCACTTCCGAGCTGCAGGCTGGTGATGTGCAGGGCACTGGTGCCTTACATGTGTGCATCTTCGTCCATGCCACTAAGAGTTGGTTGGAGGCACTTAAGTAGTGCTTCCACGTTTCTGATTCTTCGCTTTTCTGGCAATGGCAGCAGATGTGCTGTTCTCCTCAGCCTCTAGTCAACAGTGCATTGATTTCTCAAGTCTGACTACATCTTTCGAACTTATATAAAGTAAATAATTTATCTAAAGAAAGACTTATTGCAGGATAGGATCTGGTGTTAGAGCATTTCTTCTAGGGTAGTCCTACTGGAGTAGTGAGTTCTCATCAAACATACTTCTCAAATACATTTCATCCAAATCTCTCAGTAAATTTGCAGAGGTTTTAAAAGATTTCATAAGAAGTTGTTGCAATCCTTCCTAGCAGAGACCAGGGGAAAATGTGTCGAAATCAGACTGTCCTGATTAGGTTAGTACACTTAGTGTGTTTTTGTTTTCTTTAAAAAGAAAAAAGTGATTGTTTTGTATTACAAATGTTAGCTTTGTAATAGTAATTCCATCTTTTTTTATTTTATTTTTTTTCTTGCATTGCAATTAATGTTAAGGTTTTCCCATGTGTTTTTATTTAACAGCCCAAATTGCTGACAAGAACTTCAAACATTCCCTTCCTTAGTTTTGGTCCCAAGTTTTTATCTGGGAATGTTTTTTTGAAAGGGGAAAAAAAGAGCCAGGAAGGGAGCTCACAGGAGAAGTGGTAGCAATGCGCGAGGTGCAGCGCTGGTGCTGGGCTGGCGGCACAGCAGGGTCAATTGCTGAAGAACTGATGTTAATTAGGCCTATGCAACTGGTCTTTAATGAATACTTGCCAAATTAGAGGGAATGCTTATCTATGTGTGAGTATCATAACTGTAATTATCAGAGCTCTTACAGTCACTCAGGTTGTTAATATAGGAGAGGTTACGCTCTTTACCTGGAGCATCTCATTTACGTTGCCCAAACACATCTCATGTAATTTAATTAAGAACTGAAGTTATGGAAATGATAGCTTGATGTTTTCTGAGGGGGACTGGAGGGGAATATCAATGTTGAAATCTCTGGAAAGCAGGGTTAAATGTAACGTTTGTTAGGAAGGTGGCAACTAGAAAATAGCAATCCTGTCTATCTCGGGCTGGGTGAGCTTTGGATAGCTTTGTTCTTCCCTATGTTTCTGTTAAAATGTTGGCCACTAAATGCCCAGCATGCCAGCTGAGCTCTTAGCAGTGTCCTGGGATTGATAGATTTTAGTTGTTCACGCTTAGCTTCTTAACAATCTTCATGCTCGAGTGTGTTACTTAGACAGCATTTCTCCTGTCTGTCCTACACGCAGAGAACAGTATGACTGAGGTTATTGGTCAGTGTTTC